TTTGCAACTCTCCCTTAGTAACCAGTATACTCTGACCTTGGACCTTCAGTATGGATATGGGTTATTGCATTCATTTAGAGTAGGGGCTGTGCAGGAGCTGATGTACTAAATTTAACTGGGTTGCTTGATAGCTAGTACTTCAGTTTGCTGTGCAGTCTCTCCCCTCCTGTCAAGTTCTAACAGCCACCACCCCTGCTGTTTCTAACCATTTTTCTAGGTCTACTTTTAGGCAGTTCTGAGCATTGCTGGGGGAACTAGTTACTGTGATGAATGTTTCATCACTAGTTTGATTATGTAAATTCTCCCCTGAAGGTTCATCTGTGCTTTTCCTTGAGTGCAAACTACTGCTGTTTAGTGATAGATTTTCCTGTCTTCCAATTGTTTGTACCTCCCTTACTTCTAGAGGTATAATTTTATGCTTAAGCTGCTGGAAGTCAACTACATGGAAGAAATTACTGAATTGTATTTGTCATCATTTGAATACTTGGAATTTTCTTAATGTTTAGGAGATCTGTGTTGGCCAACTTTGGAAGAATTTATTCACCTTTTAGCAAGGATTTCTGGTTCTAGGTCTGTACAACATGAAATGATGCAGCATGCCTAACAAAACAAAAGATGAATCAGACAGAAACTTAATTTTAAATTCTATGTTATATAAATTATGATGGCAACTTCAAAATCAGCCTTTCTCCAAATATTCTGTTCATTCATAGGAAATGTGATCAAGTGTATAGAATAGTTGACGTATATATGACTAGAAAGAAAAGTGTTCAAAAGACTTTAGTGCCGCCTTAAAATTGCAAAGCTTTATTTACTGTGTTTCAATCTTGGTGTAATACTCTGGAAAGTGTGTGTAACACCCGCATTGCCACAGATGTCACTGTTATGGTCATATAGTTAATACTAGAGTGATGCTTGCAAGTTGATGCTTTAATATTGTTTGAGCTCATTTTTTTTTCTGGTGAAAAAAAATCTTTTTATGGGAAAATGCATAGTCCAATGAAATATTATTAAAAGTCAAGAAAAGATTAAAGAAAACATAATTACCACTAGTACTGTGGATTCAAACAACTATTATTTTAAAAATCTTACCTTATTTTCTTATGAATGCCTGACTATTTTCACCTCCAACTATATTTAAAATTATTAGTTTTATTATCTGTGTTCATTTTTTATAGGAATAATATCATTTTATTGCACTTTTCAGATGCATCTTCTACAAATTGAAGGTTTGTGGCAATCCTGCACTGAGCAACTCTAAGGGTGCCATTTTTACAACAGCTATTTTGCTCATTTCATATCTCTATGTCACATTTTAGTAATTCTCACAATGTTTCAAACTTTTTTCATTATTGTTGTTTTTATGGTGATCTGTGATCAGTGATCTTTGATGTTACTATTGTAATTATTTTGGGATGCCACAAACTGCACCCATCTAAGATGGGGAACTTGATGATAAATGTTGTATGTACTGACTGCTTACCCTCCTTGCCGTTGTTCTATCTTTCTCCTTCTCCTCAGGCCCACCTATTCCTTAAAACACACCAGTATTGAAATTAGACCATTTGATAACCCTATCATGGCCTCTTAAGTGTTTGAGTAAAAAGAAGAGTCAATTAATGTGGCAAAGTTCATTGTTGTCTTTTTAAGAACTTGCCTTAACCATTCCAACCTTCATCAGCCACCACCCTGATCAGTCAGCAGCTGCCAGCATCGAGGCAGGACACTAGAAAGAAGATGATGACTTGCTGAGGCTCAGGCAATGGTTAGCATTTTTTAGCAATAAAGGCTTTTAAAATTAAGGCATATAAATTGTTTTTTAAGACAGTGCTATTGCACACTTAATGGTCTACAATATAGGGTAAAGATAACTTCGATATGACTGGGAAACTGAAAAGTTCATGTGACTTGCTTCATTGTAATATTCATTTTATTGCTTCAGTCTGGAACCATACCCACAATATCTCTGAGGTATTCTTGTATTATTTTATTGATAATAAACTTTATTTTATAGAATTATTTTAGACTTACAGAAAAATTACAAAGACATCATGGAGATTTCCCATATACCAAACACCCTGGTTCCTCTACTACTAATATGATAATAGTGGATTGAATCGTGGCCCCAAAAGTCCTAGCCTGCAGTACCTGTGAATATGACCTTAATTGTAATTAAAAATCTTGGGATGAGATCATCCTGGATTTAGGGTGGGCCCCAAAGCCAATCGGGCTGGTATCCTTGTAAGAGGAGAACAACATATTAACACACAGATGCACAGGGAGTAAAGCCATGTGATGGAGGCACAGCTGGAATGATGCAGCTGCAAGCCAGGGAACACCAAGGACTGCTGGCTGCTACTAGAGCTATAAAGGAGCATGGCCGGATTCTACCTTGGAGCCTTCAAGGGAGCATGGTACCTTCCTACACCTTATTTCTGGACATCTATTTTCCAGAATAGTGACAGACTACATTTGTATTGTGTTTTCAGCTGCCCAGTGTTAGTTTGTTATGGCAGCCATAGAAAACTGATAAGTTATAGTAGGGTGGTATATTTATTAAAATCAATGAACCAATATTTATACAGTATTAACTAATTGCCATGATTCACTCAGATTTCCTTAGTTTTTACATAATGTTCATTTTTTGTTCCAGAAGCCCATCCTGGATACCAGTTACATTCAGTTGTCATATCTTCTTAAGCTTCTCCTGGATGTTACAGTTTCTGACACTTTTGTTTTTTGATAATCTTGACAGTTTTGGGGAGTACTGGTCAAATAGTTGTAGAATGTACTCAAGTTGGAGTTTGCCTGATGTCATCTCGGTAGAAAGAACATTGAGATAAAGTGCCATTTTCATCATGTCATGCCAGACTTCCTTTTATCAACACAAGTTATCACTGTTGATGTTAACCTTGATCACCTGACTGCAGTAGCATTTGCCAGGTTTTTTCACTGTAAAGTTTCTGTTTTTCCCCACTTTTTCATACTGTACTCTTTGGAAGTCACCATGTGCAGCTCACACTTAAGGAATATGGAGTTATGCTCTACTTCCATGAGGGCTCAGTATATATTAAAATTAATTTAAATTTGTGTAGACTAATCTATTCTTCCCATTTATACATTCAAGTTTTTATATCAGTATGACTTGTGGATATTTTTTATACTTTGAATTATAATCCAGTACTATTTATTATCATTTTGCTAAAATTGCTTGAGGTTTGGTAATTGAGCGCTCCTTCAGTTGGCTCCTGTGTGCCTTCAGCATACCCCCCAATTGTGGGATTTTTAAAAACTCTGCCTTAATTTCTGGCATTACAAGATGCTCTAAGCTCATCTTGTATATTTTCTGCCTCAGTCCATGGAATCATCAATTTCTGTAAGAAGCCCTGGTTCCCTTTATTAAAGATTGTAATTAGCCACCAACATCTGTGCATTAGGTGTGCTTGTTGCTACTGTGGTTTCCAGATCTTAGTTGACACAGTGTATGTGTGTATACTAACTTCCGTGAATACTCATATCTAAAAATATTTCTGTATGTAACTATCTGTGCCTAAATGAAGCTAAACACAGGTTCACACTGTTGTTTCCAACTGTAATTCATTACCACATAGGTCATTCTAGCCTCCTCCCCTCACCTTTAAATCCTACTCCAACAGTGACAAACGTGGATCCCAGCACTCTCCGTCCATTTACTTAATTGCTCAATTCAGATATGGAAGTGTACATGTATAAATGTATCAGAATTGTTCAGCCATATTCCTATGGGAAACAACTTTATAAACTAAAGTACAGAGTAATGTACAGTTTCTTTTGCCTTTAGTTTTATATATCTACTCACTTCCAAATTACTAAAGTCAGCAACTTTTTGCCTCTCCCCCTTCTGTGAGGTTGTTTCATACATTTATAACATAGTTAGATTGTTTTGTTACAGTCTGTATTCTATCTTGGGACTTCTCGTGATATCCTAATTTTTTTTTTTAATTTTATACATTAAAGTTTACTCTTTGTTTTATAAAGTTTAGTAGGTTTTGGCAAATGCATAATGTCAGATAGCTATAATTTCAGCATTATGCAGAATAGTTTCACCTCCAAAAATATTTTCCTATGCCTGATTAATTTTTATTTGGAAAAAGTTTTAAAAAACATAAATAAATTATACAAACTAAAGTAAGATATGCTTGGAGGTATGTTATCAAGAATTTATAAATGTTAACCTTTTTATATTTGTTTCAGATTTTTTAAATAAAAATATTTTTTAAATAATTTAATTAAATCCTCATACTTCCTAGTTCCATTTCTCTTCTTTCTTACCCAAGGGCAGTCACTGTTATAATTATGGTCTTTCTATGATTTTGTACTTTACTAGGTTTATTTTTGTGACTTTAAACAATAAATACTGTAGTTCTGTGTGTTCTATGTACATTTATATAGAGATATTATTTTATATGCATCTTTCTAAAAATACTACACTCTAAGATCCATCTATAGTAGTTTATAATTTTTGTGCTTGAATGGCTTGATTAGTGTTTAGTTCTACGAATATACCACTTTTTTTTCATCGGCTTTTCTGTTAATGGGCATTGAGATCGGGCTTTGTTTTTTGCTATTTCAGATACAGTATAAACACCCTGTACATATCTCTTTATGCACATGTGTAAGAATTTCCTTAGACTGTATAGGTGGAGGTGCAATTGTTGGATCGTGGTGGAGGTGCAATTGTTGGAGGATGTACATTTCCTGTTTTAATACAAATGGTCAGTTTGCTTCCAGTGTGGTGCAGTTCTACTAATTTCTCCCATTCTTGGCACCACTTGGAATTGCTAACTTTACATTTTGCTAATCTGATGGGTGTGAAAAGTTTTCCGAGACTTTCAGAGGCTATGGAATCCATCACCTCACTTTCTGGGCAACTAGATAATGATTTTGAGAGGAGCTTGGGTTTTTACCCTAGAGACTTATCATTTGTTAGTTTCTAATAGCCTTATATGTTATTTTCAAAGGTGTCAGCGTATCCAGGATTTACAAAGTTGTTTTGGAATCTAAATTCATCCAAATTCCATGTTCCAGTATCTGTCGTGAGAGAAACACTATATCCAAAATATGAGGTAATATACGAAATGAATTTTTCTATTGTAATTATTTAATAGTTAAATTGTATAATTGATTATTACATTAATTTTTACTGGACAGTTGTTATGTAATTTGTCATACAACTATTACCATAATTAAGAATGTTAAATGGTGCTATAAAAATTTTATATAATATATATTACATATGTACATGTACACATATACTTATAAACCCTTAAGTATGTGTGTGTGTGTGTGTATATATATATATATATATATATACACACACATATATTGTATTTATGTACATTTCTAAAAAATTTTGTACTTATCCATGTTAATTTAGCCAGTCGAATTTTCTTTTTGAAAGAATATTTTGTTTGACTGTGGTTCCAGGACATAAAAGTGATTGGGTTGTTTAGATCTTCATGGTATTTTCATTTGCTTTCAAAAGTACATTTTTAGTTTACATAATGTTAAAAAAATTTTACTACTATCCAATATAATTATTAATTTTTCTTGTAAAGAGTGTTTGCTTGCTCTAATTTTGTTACACCAATTATTTTAAAAATGAGGATCAAGAGAAGAAACCCAAAATCATCTATTCTTTTCCCTTGAGACAATTACTGCTCACTTTTTGGTCCATTTTCTTTCATTCTTAAACATTCTTCCTCTTCCTTCTTCTTTTCTTTCTCCTTTACCCCCTCTTGCTCTCCTTATTTTTCCTCTTAAATTTTGCAATGAACATCATTGTGCATAAGTTTTTAATAGTACTTAGGGTTATTTTAATTGCACAAAATTTTAGGCAGCTTACTAAAACATATCAGAAAAGGGTCAAACAAAATAGTTAAGGAAATCACAGGGAAAGCATAACAGAATAATAATGTAATAAAATCGAAGGTAAGATTAAATCAGTGAAATCCTGTTTATATCTGTTGCTTGAAATAAAGTCATTAGTTTATCTCTTAGCTTCTCTCCAACCAAGGCAGGATGGAATCACAGTCATATATGACCTATTGTTACTACATGTTAAGAATGTTAATATTAAAATATCTTGACATATCTTGGATTACTTGATCATGGTGTATTTTCTTTTTTTTTTTTAAAGATTTTATTATTTTTAGAGAGGGAAGGGAGGGAGAAAGAGAGAGAGAGAGAAACATCAATGTGTAGTTGCTGGGGGCCATGGCCTGCAACCCAGGCATGGGCCCTGACTGGGAATCGAACCTGCGACATTTTGGTTCGCAGCCCGTGCTCAATCCACTGAGCTATGCCAGCCAGGGCCATGGTGTATTTTCTTAAATAGTGTGTTGAAATATATTAGGCAATAATTTCTTTTTTAAAATATACTTGAGTGAAACCTATATGTAGTGTATTTTTTTCCTTAGTTAAATTCTTCCATCAAGGTATGTCTTGCTTCGTAACGTAAATTGATTAACAGCTCATCTTTTTTTTTTTAATATGCCAAAATTGATGTAGCATAGAAATAATCTTGAAAATGTGGAAGAATTCACTGCCTGGAAAGGTGATTGACAAATAAAACTTTCATTTTCTAATTCAAGGGTTATTCATGTTTAATGTTTTTTCTTGAGTTAATTAGATATATATCCTTACAGACAACCGTCTGTTTAATTGAGATTTTTGCTATATGCAGCATTTGTATATATTCCGTCTTCAGTTTTAATCTCCATTTCCAATGCTGCATAATTTACTACCCATTTCTAATGGATTTTTTTTTAGAGTTTTTCTTTACTAGAGTAGAATTTTTTTTAGAAACGAGTTTATTTTTTGTTTTCTCTCATATGTTTTCACTTGCAAATTATTTCATCTCTACTTGTCCAACTACTTAGTATACTCTCATCAGTATAAAACCATCCCTTTAATTTTTTTTTTAGCAAGGATTGTGATATATGAGCACCTAGCTGTTAGCTATCATGGCCATAGAGCCAGAAAAACAAACATGGTCAAATGGTGGCATCTTTGACCAAAAAACTTTTGATTTAAGTATTAACTCAGGTTTTGCTCCTCTGAATTTTTGTTACCTCTCTTTGAGATTTTTTTTTTTGGTTATCAGTTTCCTGCTTTCCATAGAAGGTTAACATTTGTATTTGGGCATTTTTCTAATTTCTTGAATTGAAAATTTAATTTCTTTGTATTTCTTCTTTTTAATTAGTATACATAATTCATCAGTTGTCTCTGTGTAAGACTTTGACCTTATTTCATAAGTTTTTATTTGTAGTGTATTCATTTATTTTCTGAATAATTTCTATTGTAGTTTTCAGTATCTCTTTGACATACAACTTATGTGAGAAAGTGCTTTTTTTAAACTTACTGAAATTATTTTAAAGTTTATTCTCAATCCTTATTAACATGAGGCACTATTGTCTTTAGAATACCAGTTTCATGAAATTTATTACATTTTGTGGTGTACCAGATGTCCCAATAGTATCTATTAATTCAATGATAGTGTAGATGGTGACCATTTTTTTTTTTGTTGTGGCAACACTAAGCAGAGCACAGGCTTTGCAATCAGATGGTCTTGGATTTAAATTTCAATGTGTTCTATTCTTTCATCTGGGCTGTGCTTCTTTGTCTCTTTATTTTGGCAGCCTCCCTGAACTCACAACTGAGGTATGTGCCCTGACCAGGGATGGAACCACAACCTTTTGGGGTATGGTACAATGCTCCAACCAAATGAACCACCTGGCCAGGGCTAGCTCCTTTTTTTCCTCCTAATATTGGGCTCCAGATGATGTTTTTGATCTATCATGTAGCTCAGGTTCATACATTTTTTCTTCATTTGTATCTAATACACTGTTAAACTTGTTTACTGTGTTTTTAAATTTGGCTTTGTTTTTTTTTAGAGTTTTTATTTTTTCCTCCAAATCTGTTCTTTTGTTTCTTCATGTACCTGTTATCTTTAAATCTTACCATTGCATTGGAGCCATTAGTTTTAGGAAGTATTTGAGATCTAGAATGGTGGTTTCTTTCTCTAGGAAAACTTTTTTTGTCAGAACATGGGATATTTACCATTTAAGGAGAGCCTTAATATGAGGTTGAGGCTTGATTTTCTCTGACCTCCTTCATGACAGGGCCCCAGCTGAAAGTCTACACAGATATTTTCTTTCACTAACTCTTAATCTGAGTGTGTAGCCCTGTAATATCCTTTTAGCCTTCAACACTTGTATATTTTAAATATTTACACACACCTATATGTTTGTGTATATATATACATATATGTATATACATATACATATCAGGCTTCACACCTCAGGTACATCAGGTAGATTCTGGTTCTCAATTTCTGTAACCCTTGCCCCAAGAAATTGCATATTTGCGTGTCAATTTGCAGCTCCATTAGTAAACATCCTGAGAATAAAATTATTTTCGAATACTGGATTTAACTTACCTGGTTCTTGCCTTTTCTCAGATTTTGGCCCAGTATCTCTTCATTATCTTGTTAGCTCTTTGATGCTTAAAAGATAATGATTGTTTTTCATATTACGTGTAGCTTTCTTCGTTGTCCTCAGCAAAATTACTTAGCTTGCCATAATTAGAAGCAGAAGTCATAATTGATGTTTTAGGTAGCAAAACTGTTTTCATTTTCACCTGCATCCTAACTTTGATTGCATGCATAACCAATTTCTGCAATATCCTTGGAGTGAAGCAGGAGAATTTTTACATTGGATATTGTGTAAGCAGTACTGTAATTGCCCTATCAAGCAAATTAGTTTAGGTAATATCTTGGCATATTCCAACATATGAAGCATGTTCTCTTTTCAAAAGCTGTCATTGATTGTTAGTAAGTTCTGCTATTTTAAGATCTGTGAAATATATTACAGTAAGCCCTCACTTAACATCGTGGATAGGTTCTATTACTTTAAGCAAAATGACATATAACAAAACCGAATTACCATAGGCTAATTGATACAAGCATATTTAAGTTCCTGTGGCATCAGATCAATGTTATAAAATGTTGAGGACCTGCTGTATTAAGGTTTGTGTCCCTGTTGTTGTAAAAAGCATTCTTTAAAATATGTAATTGATACCTTTGTATCATATTTGAAAAGTTTGTATAAGCATATGATAAAAGAGTTCCAAAATTTCTTGTGTGTCTCAGAGTTTGGTTTTTAAAATAATGATGAAGTTGACAAAGCCTTTTTTTGCTATGTCTGGTAATTTTCTTACATTGTGCTCTAGTTACTTTCTAAAAATGTAAGAGAAGAGGATGAACAAAAATAAATAATGTGGGTAATTCCTAAATTTCCCATAGCCTTCTCCATATCTGTTCCATTCTCAGTGCTAATTCATGATACTTTTTAAAGCTGATTTTTTATTGAATACAAATTTTTGAATTTGAAATTTTAAAGTTGTTTGAGACCTACAAACTTTCAGTAAACTAGGCAGCAGCATAATTTATTTCATCATGAATCCACCAGACTCTCTAACTTAGATATGATTCAGGATAGAGAAGTAGCATGTTTGATAATAATTACAATCAATCCTAGCTGGCATGGCTTAGTGGATTGAGCACCGGCCTTTAAACCAAAGCGTTGCTGGTTTGATTCCTAGCCAGGGTACATGCCTGGGTTGTGGGCCAGGTCCCCAGTAGGGGGCACAAGAGGCAACCACACACTGATGTTTCTTTCCCTCTCTCTCTCGTTCCCCTCCCTTCTCTCTAAAAGTAAATAAATAAAATCTTTAAAAAATAATAATTATAATCATTGCAGCTGTTTACCCATACAACAAAAAGCATGCACATATAACAGTTCACTGATAGTGTTTGAATTATAAGGAGATTTTTATTTAATTTAACATTTAAAATGCTTGTTTGTACTTTACAGTGAATAGTGGCAGTGACAATCATCCAAATGATATGTTTTATTCATAATCCTGCTGTTGCCATGTTGCATAGATTCAATGCTAACCTATGAGATCATAGGACCATTGACTGTTGCTAAGATTAAGGATGCCAGAAATAATAGATGTACCTATCTGCTTGACTAACTGCCAATGCTGAAGCTGAATTGAGGGTTTTGGTCAAATACTAAGGTTGTAGTGGGACTTTGATGCATCTCTGGTGAATTTTTTCTACAATTCTACCCTTTCCATACATTTCTCTTTTGTTAATAATGTACTGTAAAGTTAACAGTGGTCATAGGCTTTTAAAAGTATTTCACTATTAATTGAAAACTTTTTTTAACCACAGAGTGTTCAGACAAGCAGAATTCTAATTGAGAAAATTTCACCTGAAAGCAGGGAAAGTGTCACTATAAATCAGTACAATGGAAAGCATAGGGTATGTAAAATTTTTATTCTGAATTGTAAACTGGTTACTTTTTCTGTCTACAGCTCAGGTATTATATCTACAAATTTTGGAAACTGTTTATTGGTGTTTCCTCAGTCCAGGAAATGCCTCAAAATGTGCACTGGTATCTTTGTGGGGAGGACACAACTCCTCTTTTTAAATGTGTTGTCTTTATGACACTCCAAGGATGTTATTTACTAATCAGTAGCAGAAACCTGCTGTGAGTTTTCCTACTGTTTCTAAAATTTCTGGTTTTGTACTCATTTATCACTTCTTTCTAGGTCTTAAAAGATCAAAGGAATATGTTTATAAATCTTTTTATGATGGGGGAATCATTCCTGGTCATGAAACCAAGTAAACCTGAGTTCTTTACATGACAATTAGACTCATGCTCATCTTTGTGGTTACAGTGTATCAATAAAACCAAACTAAATAATAAACTCAATCAGGAAGAAAAGAGTTAGCGATTGAGAGAAGAAGAAAGGTAGAAAATTTATATGTTGATCTAGAAGTGTCCTGAATGTTATAGGGACAAACAAGAAACAGTTTTCTCCCCACATTATTGCCTTTAGAGCTCTGCTCCCCTTCGGCGCTCCCTCAGGATGCTGAGTGCTACCTAGTATAGAGTCTTGGTTCCCTGGGACAAACCAAATCCCTAGTCTAGTCAGCTAATCAAGTCCATGCCTCTTCCCACACAGTGAGGTAATACTTCTTGGGGGGAGGATAATGTTTATATTTAATATAGGTCACTTTCTTGCTATTTTTCCTTTAGTACTTCCTAAATACTTGTCCTCTTGTATGTTTGATCTTCATAGTCCTCACCCGCCTGGTGTCATACCATTCTTGTTCATTGTTTTGTCCATAGCAGCTAGAGCAGCAAGCATCACATACAAAACAATTGAACCAATGAATGACACTTTCTAGTTTGAAATGCCAATTGCACTTTCTAGACTACCTTAGTAGCATTACCTACACTGACCTGTCAGATAATTCCCATTTTTGGTAGCTGATTCTTGCAGCCCTTCCTCCTTCCTGACCCCAGCTATATTCTTAAAACACAGGTAGGATTATGTGGCATATGTCTCAACAATTTGAATAACTTCACCTGCCACATAAAGTCAGAGTGCTTAACTAAGTCTTATAACCTGGCCTCAACTATATTTCCTATCCTACTTCTCATTATTCTTCTACCTCCATATAGCCTCTGTCTGCACCAGAGTCCTTAGGAACCATAATCCCAGCACTTTGACCCTTGTAGGCCCTGGTTTAGGCTATTCCATTGGCAAGGGATGTTCTCAGTCCCCTCTCAGTCCATAGAAATGTCACCGCCTTTCATAGGCCAACCCGATGCTACCTCTTCAAGTTAGTCTGTTCAGGTTCTTTCCTGTTTAGAATTAACCTCTCCCTCTCCTGGGTCCCCTCACACTCGATTTATGCCATTTTTATAGTCATTGCCACAGTCACTTTGGATTATAGTTATTTCCTTATGTCTCTTTCCACCATTATACTGGTTGAGGACATGGAACATACTGAAATACCTCCCAATTCTTTTAATGTAATAACTCTCATAGTAAGTGTTAACACTTGTGTAGTCCTGTGGAGTAGAAGGTCAAGGTTATACATGAGTAGGGATGACTGTTCAGGGGACAGTGGCTGCTCCAGGTTCCACAGTCCACACCCCCAGGGTTAAAAGGTGAGTGGCTCAGCATATCTGTGGCACATTCATACACACCTGTGCCCCATACACCACCCGGAAAGCTTTGCAGGGTGGCACCTGGCACATAGTGGGGACTAACTAGGTAACTTAAAAAAGTAATTTCAAAATTAATTGAGGATTTTAAGTTCTGCTCTTCTCTGAATTCGATGACTTCAAAATCAGCAAGAACCTGTACTTCAATTAGTCTTTCTGCATTTTGTAAATTTACCTTAACAGCTACCAATAGTCAACTGTCATATTTTCATTTACCATATAGTATCTACAGTCAATGTATAATTATCATTTTATTATTTCAGTTTATTTTTCCAAGAAAATCTTCATCACTTAGTAATATCAAAAAATTTTGCAGCATACAATCTCCACAATTAAAGGTATGATAATTTTTCAGGTTTTATTATTCAATAGAAATCTTTATCTTACTATTAATATTCAAAACCTGTGCTTTTTCTGTTTACTTTCCTGAAATAGGTAGTCAGTTGATTCTTCCAGAGTTGACTGCAAGTTTGGGTATGAGTGTGTATTTGGTAGCCAATGTATGATTATGGTTGGTGGTTCCAAGTTAAGATTTTCAACAGCACTTTGAAATGTCTTATAGTCATAGTTTACCTGGTATATTATAAATCAAGTCACTTACAATGTTGACCCACAGTTCACAGTTCTGCATCGAGTTCACAGTTTTAAAGCATTTTTTTAAAAGATTTTATTCATCCATTTTTAGGGAGGGAAGGGAGGGGGAGAAAGAGAGAGAGGGGGGAGGGAGAGAGAGAGAGAGAGAGAGAGAGAGAGAGGGAGAGAGAGAGAGAGAAACATCAATGTGCGGTTGCTGGGGGTTATGGCCTGCAACCCAGGAATGTACCCTGGCTGAGAATCGAACCTGGGACGCTTTAGTTCCCAGCCCGCGCTCAATCCACTGAGCTATGCCAGCCAGGTCAAAGCATTTTTTATGAACACTATTTCAGTTTGATTTTGGACTTCATAATATCCTGATGAGAAGGAAAGTGAGACAGATATTATCCTTGTGTTACACGTGAAAAGCAAAGGGTCAGAGAGTGATAAATGGCAGAGCTAGTGCTTAAATCCCCACCTCCTTGTACCAAGAAAAATGCTTTCAGCTTTTCCAAGAATCCACAGGCGTTGTTGAGCAGCTGGTTCTCACCTTCAGTGGCAGTGACACCTAGCTCCCAGGTGTTTTATTTCCCCCAAAGTATCTGACAGTCAACTTCCTTGATTCTCCATGTTAATTTCTTCTAATTTGCTTTCAGCCTGCCTAACTTTAGCCTATTTCATTTTTCATTTCTGACATTCTCCTTTCTTACTGACTCACTGATTCCTCTGTTTTGTGTCCCTGTACATTGACACTATTTTTTATTTATTTTATTGACATACAATTGACATATAACATTATATTAATTTCAGGTGTATAACATAATGCTTTGATATTTGTATGTATTGTGAAATGGTCACCACAGTAAGTTGTTAACATCCATCACCACATAGTTAACACATTATTTTCTTGTGATGAGAATTTTTAAGATCTACACTCTTAGTAACTTTCAAATGTACAAGACAGTATTGTATACTATAATGATGTACATTATATGCCCATTTTAACTTTATTAACTGGCTTTTGAAAAAACATTAAGAATACATGATACAAAGTTTTTTCAATAGTGGTCAAACTACATTAACTAATTGAATTAATTTTAAATGTATAGCAACTAAATTGATTTTATTTTTTTCTACCTCTTTGTTTTCTCATTAATAAGAGAATAAACTCTTTAGCTGAATTGAGGAAGGAGGGGACCACAGTTCTGTTAGAGATTAAGGATGATGTGCAAAGCAGTATAAGAGAGGTGATGTTTCAGAAAGCAAAGGAATTGGAACGTCGTGGGATAATTGAGCAAAACGCAACTGAGGAAGTCACTTTTGCGAAAGAAAATATAGATACCATCTTAGACACCATTCAGGACAATCACAGCCTAAGAGATCTGTCTGTTTCTCTCATTGAAGCATCTAGAAAAGCTGGCATCAGTTACATTGTTTATCCCAAGAAAAAGAAGCTGAAATGGAAGAAAGGACAGAAATTCACTAAACTTCCATTTGTGTTGGATGCGTTGTCCAAGCCTCCAAATATTCTAAAAAGGTCTTGTTTAATCAATAATTGTTATAGTTTATAAAATGCATTGTGGTTTTTGTCTTCATTTTATAATTCACTCATTGAAGGTGTGGCTAATGTAAGGACATGCTTCCCAGTCAAGAAGTAAAACTAAATCAATTTTAATGGCTACATAAAATCTTTTAATGGAAAGAAATAAACTCTACTAAGTTATTTTTTGAGATGATGTAGGACCAAAACCCAATCTCTGCTCCAAACAAGTTTCACCCATTCAAAAGTCGAAATAGTTTACTGATTTTTTAAAGTATTGAAATGAGTAACAAAACCAGATAGATAAATTGTTTTTTGTATGTTATGAGCCCTAACTCAGAGATCAATACAAAGAAATAATTTTTCTTCTTACTTGGAGGTAATGGTATCTAACATGCTTAAAAATGTAGAGGGGCCTGAAATAAAGGTTACTGAAAATCCAGGCATGTTAATAGTTTAGTGTTCAGGACAGAAATTCTTACCACCCAAGAGCTGTCAAAATAGTTTCCAAAGCCCTGAGCTTTGTTCTCTTTCGATATACCCAAATGACAGTAAAGAATTCATTAAACTTATATTTTTTAGAAAAGACTTTTCTGGTGATAAGAGACTCATAAATGTTTTATTCACTTTATTGTTGTAAAGTCTTGCTGGTTCTGAAGAGGAATTATACATTATTGTGGTGATTATTGTCCTTTAGAAGACTGGGAGACTGGGGAATAACTCTAAGGAAAGTGTAAGTGACAGAGTACAGTAGAGACCAATCCTAGGGGAGAATGCCATTCAAGTACTGAGTTCTCTGCACATGATTTATAGTTAAGTTTCCCCTGCAACGAATATACCTGGAAGCTTTTTTGTTAGGTCATCTTTAGAATACTTTAGGTAGGTTTTCCTAATTTGACAAATGTTTTAGATCAGAATCAGAAGATTCCAATACATTTGCTCTTTTCAAAGTATTATGAATCTTCACCATCCCAGAAAGAATACTGCACAGCACCATTTTGGCTATGACTGAGGTGACTTCTGTCTATATAGAGGATATAAGCAGATTCAACACTGCTTTGGGGGATGTTTTACTGCTTCCTGCCCCTTTATCATTTTGATTATAAAATTATCCACTTAAAGAGAGTTATGTGCTTTTTAATAAGTGAAGTTGAAATGTGTATAGACTGCCAAGAGGGGTGAGAAGACCCATAGGATGAGGTAGAGGTCGAGGCAGTAAAACAAACTGTGGGAGTATTGATCTTCTTCTTCTTCTTCTTTTTTTTTTTTTGAAGTTTTAAACCATGCCAGTAAGCTGAAGGCAGCCTGGGCTCTCAATCTAGTCCCTACTCTGAAAACCATTTTTATTATTTATTTATTATTTTAAAAATATATTTTGTTGATTATGCTATTATAGTTGTTCCAAGTTTCCCCCTTTGTTCCCCTCCACCTGGTATCCAACATTCCCTCCAGTAATACCTCCCACCCTTAATACATGTCCATGGGTCATGCATGTAAATTCTTTGGCTATTCCATTTTCTGTACTGTTCTTAACAACCCCCTGTCTATTTTGTACCTACCAATTTGTACTTTTTAATCCCTGTGCATTTCCCCCATTCTCCCTTTTCCCACTCCCAACTGATACCCTCCAAATGATCTCCATATCTATGATTTTGTTTCTGTTTTGCTTGTTTGCTTAGTTTGTTGTTTAGATTCAATTGTTGATAGTTGTGAATTTATTGCCATTTTAAAGTTCATAGTTATGATCTTCTCATTTTTCTTGAATAGGTCCCTTTAACATTTCATATAATAATGGTGTGCGGTTGATGAACTCCTTTAGTTTTACCTTGTTTGGGAAGCATTTTTTTCTGCCCTTCAATTTTAAATGATAGCTTTGTTGGATAGAGTAATCTAGGTTGTAAGTCCTTGCTTTTCATCACTCTTGCCAGTTCCTTCTAGCCTGCAAAGTTTCTTTTGAGAAATCAGCTGATAGTCTTATGGGAACTCCTTTGTAGGTAACGCTCTCCTTTTCTCTTCATATCTTTAATGCTGGGTAATTTAATTATGATGTGTCTTGTGTATTCCTCTTTGGGTCCACCTTGTTTGGGGCTCTCTGTGTTTGCTGGACTTGTATGTTTATTTCCTTCACCAAATTAAGGAATTTCTTTCACTATTTTTTCAAATAGGTTTTCAATTTCTTGTTCTTCTCTTCTCCTTCAGGCACCCCTATGATTCAAGTATTAGTATGTTTGAAGTTGTACCAGAGGCTCCTTAGCCTCTCCTTATCTTTTTCCTTCTTGCTGTTCTCAAATGCTTTTTTCTTTCTTATGTTCCAAGTCATTTATTTTGATTCTCAGCTTCATCCATTCCACTGTTGATTCCTTGAAAATTGTTCTTTACTTCAATTAATGTCTCCTTCATTTCTGATTGGATCATTTTTATACTGTTAAAGTACCCAGTGAGTTCCTTCAGCAGCTTTATAACCAGTGTTTTGAACTCTGCCATCTGATAGATTGCTTATCTCCATTTTCTTTAGTTCTTTTTCTGGAGTTTTGTTCTGTTCTTTCATTTGGGCCATATTTTTATTTCTCCTCATTTTGGCAGCCTCTTTCTGTTAGTTTCTGTGTAGGGAGAGCTGCTTTGACTCCCTGCCTTAGTAGTATGGCCTATTGTAGAAAAGTGCACCAGTAAATTGGATGAGGCAGAACTTTAGGTAATCAGCCAGGCAGGGCAACTTGCTTCACTGCTCTGTGGCTCTGTGGTCAGGAGGGCTCAAAGAGGTGACAATGCCACCTCCTGGCATTGTCTTGGAGGATGTTTTCCCCTGGCACTTGCCCTGATGCTAGACACTCCAGTTTTTCCCCATGTGTCACTGATGCCTTTCCAGCTGTTGCCCTGGTGCTGAAGCCCAGAGGGAGTGAATCTGTGTAAGTCCTAAGTCTGTTGTGGGCCCTTTAAGATGAGACTCCTGAGAATCCTGCAGTTTCTTCTGCTGATCCAACCCCCACTAGTTTTTATAGCCAGAAGTTATAGGGACTTATCTTCCTGGCACTGGAACCCTGGGCTGGGTGATATGGTGTGGAACTAGGATCCCTCACCGTGATCCCAAGGTCGTCCTTCTGATTTTTATCCACCACACATGGGTGTGGGACCACCCATTGCATGTTTCCACTTCTCCACACCTCTCTATATTTCTCTGCATGTCCCTGCATCTGCACTCCTCCATGTATCTCCATATTTCTGCCGCTCCTGTCCATCTGGATTAATTCCTTGGTTTTTGGACTTTCATACAGCTCAGTTTCCTGATGATTCTGGGTGATATTTGTTTTGTAGTCTGGTTATAATTTTTGTTGTGGTTGTGTGAGGAGGTGAGCCATTTTTACCTATGTTTTCATCTTGACTGGAAGTCTGATCCAATATAATACATTAGTATAGCTTTCCTACTTTCTTTAATCTAAATCTTAAACTAATTTACCACAGTGTTACTATGAAGTAAGTGTTATTTTAAAATAAGTTTATGGAGCATATTTATAAATTTTATTTTATAGTTTGAGATCTTTCTTTCACTAATCTTAACTTCATTAACATAGAAATATCCTTCTTACCATTGTATATCATACCTTTAAGATTGTTTAATCACACTCATTTTTGATTCCCACTAGCAACACTTTCCAACTTGGCTTGCTCCTGGAAGCAAATCTGTGGTTTTAACCCTGGTTTTCTTGGCCCATCTTGCTCCACTACACCCCCAAGAGAGGCAGAATTTATTTTCTATAGACACAAGGTGACATATTTTTCTTAGTGCCACTAATCTGTAATTTTCCTGATCATCAGCTATTGCTTTTAGTACACTATCGTGAATGGTGGTATGAGATGAAATAGGGCCTTTCCAGAAATTTCCACTTGATCTTTACTACCATTATCTTTGGCTTATGTAGTTGTTAAGTTGATTCTTTACACTACACATTCTGGGACTAGGGGAATTATCCAAGAATGGGTCCATATCTCACCAGATCTACTGTTAGGTAGTTTTAGGCCAAAATTATTTCTACCACTGAACCTTCATAATTCCCTAATTTGATTGGTGGACTTCATTGGCATCCACATTGGGTATCTGTGGATTAGCATAAGTTTATAGCCAGTATCTAATAAACCCCACAAGATTTAGGTATTTACTCTTTCCCAGATCTTTGAAAGGTTTTAGAGGATAATTCATTAAATAATACACTGAGACCACATAGCAAGATACTTCCTCAGTGGGACCTGTTCTGGCCTTCTTGTCAAGTGAGAGGTTTTGGATTATGAACTGGCTTAGGTCTGAGAGCTGGGTAAGAGATTGTGAAGATCTAGAAGACCTAGAATTTTTTTCACTGATGTAAGTCAAAGTACACCTTAGCAGGCTCCTCTTCTATCCCATTTCTAAAGACCTGTGGTCATTTAGTTACTGCCACAGATCCTTGTGAGTTAAAATCATACGGTTACTATTCTACCTCTGTGGTTTATTTTGGTAATTGTGACCACCAAATCCAGCTAATACACCAGAAATCTGTGTGTAACAAGTCTCTGGGTGACTCTGATGCACAACAGAGAAAGAGTAATTTCATTTGTAGCTGAATTGTAGACTTACTGATTATAAAAATAATTATGTTTATATGAACTAAAAATCACTCTTTCAAAAACTAGGGCAACGTCTCATGAAATCCTTCCTGGACAGAAGAAACATTTGCTCAGAGTTCCATTGTATGAACGTCAAATACGATGTCCCAGTGTACCTTCATTGTTAAATTTTGACAAATTTGCCCAAAGTATGGGAGGGATTCCAGAAAATAGTGACCCTCGAACATGGGTTCTTGATATATTCTCTAAGCATAAACCTCAGAAGACAACCACAAAAGAGAAAGTTGTTAGTACACGTGTTCAGAAAGACTTGTCTAATGAAGTGAAAGAACTACCAAAACTAGAGCTAAGTGATTCTGTGAAGTGTGATCTTTCTCCAGAGGTCATTAAACATTTTGAATCTGAAGTGGAGATCTTGACTGAAGAAATAAATAATAAGAAAGTATATCCTGCATTTCCATATTGTAGGCGTGGAGCTCTGTACAGGAAACTGGGAAAATTACAGAGTGCCATGAATGATCTACAGGAAGTAAGTTTTATTTAATCAAAATAACAATGTTAACAATTTACACTTGCATATAAGCATATAATAATTTTTACTAAAATTTTGAACAGTGAATTTGTAGTGTACATTTGGGATTGTAAAATTATATTTATTCACATTTTCAAATAATATATATTAAAAGTACTAGATTTTGTTTGCCAAATTGGGAGGTACTATTTTATATCATACATAACATAGCCATTGGGATTGAGTGTTCACTCATATGTGGAATCTAATGAATAATCTAAACTAACAAGCAAAACAGAGACAGACTCACAGATGGAGTACAGATGACAGCTAGTGTGGGGGTGAGGTTAGGGGGTGGAGAGATTGAGGAAAAAGGAAAAAGGACTCATGGACGTGGACAACAGTGTGGTGATTGCTCAGGGGAGGGTGTAAAAGAGAAATAAATGGCAATGGAAAAATATAATAAATATTAAGTTAAAAAAAGAAAAACAAACTTGCTAGGATATTTTCCTTTAATAAATCAACTCTAAGTGAATTTATACATGTGTTTTCTAGGCTATACTCTTGGAACCATTGTTTCTCAATGCCTTTTGGCATCGACATCTCATTTATCTTTTCCAAGACAAAATTAATGAAGCTTTGGATGACTTGAATTATATAAATAAATATAATAAAAATAGTGCAGGTAGGTTTACTGTACAGTTATCAATTATATCTTTACCTAATCTTTGGTCATTTAGCAGTATTAGGAAGATGTGTAAATAAAGAGACCTAGGTCTCAAAACAGGCTGTGATACTCCTAAGTTAAATTCGCTACTGATACTATAAATTTAAGACTCATATGATCCTATATTGTTTTCAAAATACTCACCATGGTTTGAAATGTTAATGTTCTTGGTATACATTACAATAAATTGATTGCTTACTATTTATCCCTCGAGAATATGTACTTAAACATTTTAACTTTAGAAGTGATTCACAAGCCTTTTCTTGACCACAAATCTCTGAGTTAGAGTTGTAGTGTCCCTATGACATGGTTGGATGAAATCTACACATTTAACCTTATGTGACCTATTTTAACAACTTGGATAACTGACTCCATGTGAAACTTTTTGGGAATAAGAAAATGTCATATTAATCTTTGTATCCCCAGCATCCACAACATACCTCTAGAATGTAGCATGAGCTTATTAAATGTTTTTTGATTTCTGCTGATCTTTGCTAAAACTGCATAAAATTTTGTGCTATCAAAATCTAACCTTTTACTACTAACACTAAAATGTTGTGAAACATTTCAGACATTCAAAAAAGTAATAGTTAATTTTTGTTATTTCACATTGAAATTGAAGATACTTTTAAACCATAATTGAGTATTTATCCAGACTTTGAGAACAAATGTTGCATTGTTGAAAATAAAAAAAAAAAACAACAACCATGCATTAAATGGTTAAGAAAATATGATAGAGAAACATTATTCTAAGACTACAGTTTTGGAGAAAGACAAATTAATCTCTAAGATTTTTCAGTTAATAAAAGGACTGTAACACTAACTTGTACCTTTTATGTTGTCTTTAGAGGCATATTTGTCCAAGGCAGAAATTTACAGGAAAAAAAAAGATATCACTCTCGCGATTCTAAACTATACCCAGGCAATTAAGTGCAAACCCACAGATGCTGACATATATTTCAGGAGGGGTGAGATGTATGAAATAACAAACAGAGTGCTGGCCATGGATGACTTCGCAAAAGTAAGTTGTATCACATATGATGCTGCCATTATTTATATATTTTAGATTATGGTAGTCTCATCCAAATGTTATAGCAAATTGTCGCAGTTCTTTCATATATGTTGTATAATTAAAATTAATTTATTGTAGAATAAGACCTAGAGCATTCATTACTGGAAGTGATATTAACACTATATCAAATTTTTAAAACCACCGTAATTAGTGAATGAATGGATTTACATCAAAGAGTTGGGTTTTGGAGCATTTGAGGCAGCTAAAAGGGGACTTGGCTCTCTCAGCTCTCCTCTTCTACCATGAAACAGTGGTAAAGGAAACTTTTGAAAATTGTTTCTTTCCTTCAAACAATAGAGAAAATCCATTTTCTACTTAACTCTTGACGCAAAAAGCTGGTTCTCTTCTGCAGCAAACCCTTCTACTTCCAAAGAAGCTGTGCTCACTAGCTTGTTCACTCATTCATTTATTCACACATAAATATTTATTGACTGAGGCATTCTATAATATAGTGAATAAATCTTAGTGAATGAAATAGGCATGTTTCCTATATATGGAGTCTACAGTTCAAAGGACAGACATTAAAGAAAGAAATACATACATAAATATATAATTACAAATTATGATGGCTCCTATAAAAAAGTAAAAATAATGGACGAGTAATTTATATTTGGTAGGGCAATATCAAGGAAATTCCTTGAGGAAGTGAACTTTTAGCTGAATTGTACATTGAAGTGCTACAGTCAGGCAAAGAATTCCTCAGTTTGCAGCAGAATTTTAACCTTGACCTTCTGACTTTTAACTCTAAATTCTTAGTTCTCATACAATTGAGAATTTATAAGTTATTTAAATAATTTACCTTTTCATTTTCCCTGTTTCTTAATCCTTGATGGTTAGCCATATACTTGACAGTATTTTTGCTTCAAGAGAATACTGTAAGTTTTGATAACTCCTGGTCTTGAAAAAATACTTCTAATATTTTCTTTTGAAGATATTGAAATCATTAAATTATCTATTCTGTTCATTTCCTCCCTCTAGCACCAATAGTTTAAAAATAGACTGATGAAGTAACTGGAGGTCAAACTAACTTTTTAGAGAATTATTTCTTGTTTTAAAAATGCTTGGTAGTCTTTGCGCTTTGTTTTTTTTCCCACTGTCAATAAGTGAGGAGCTTTATAACTGAATATACAACGATTTAGTCTTTTTACTCTATTGCTTGTATGTCAGTGTGAAATAAATGAATCATGCCAATACCAACTCATTTGTTTTTACCATTTTAGGGGCTACATTAATCCATATTTTATTTGATTGAATCAGCCTTGATGTGGTCTAATATGTTTTATCTTTAATGGGGATGAAGTGCTGGGGATATAATTGGGATAAAATTGATAGATCCAATATAGTGCTACTCTAGTTGAACAATTCTCTTATGAAATGTTATCAGTATAAATTTCAGTGGACTAAAGCCTTGGCTGCTTGCGTATGTTGTTTTCTCCTTCTCTCTTAGAAAACATCCTCTTTCCAGAATTTGATGATAAGTGGACCTCCTAAAAAAGTGGGTTTTAAATGCAAATGTCAAAATTTACATCTAAAGTAGTTTGCTTTTATATAATTTGAAGTTAAAAATGTGATTGTACTTTATTTAATTTGCTATGGGGTTATATACTTTTCTTGTTCTTTTTTTTTCATTATGTGATATGTTTTTGTGTCTCCCTTCCACCCCACCCTCCCCATGAAGTGCATTTTTTATGATCCCACAAGAACAGATGCATTATTGAAGCGTGGAATGTTTTACTATGAAAATGAAAGCTGGAATTCAGCCATCCAGGATTTTACAGCCTTGTTAGATAGAGAGCCCAAAAATTCTCAAGCAAGGTATGAATTATTTTATATGTGATTTTTGTAATTATATTTTTTGAAATACCTACATTTTCAGGAAAGAAAATGCTTGAAATACATCAGACACCCTTTAGAACAGTGTGTCTGTTTTCAGTTCTACCTGTGAATGAAAATCTTTACTTATACTCTGACAGCAGTGGTTAATTTAACAGGTACAAATGCCAAATCAGAGTTTCATTAGCATTTTCTAAAGACTAGTACATTATTAATTTTTAATGTATTGGCCTATGTTTTTATTCTTTGAATATCTTTATATATCCTTAGTATTCACTGAGTACAGAGAACTGATTATCTAGATTTTTGTAATATCTTACTATAACTTTGCTATGAAACTTTGTTCTTCCAATCTTACTGTGCATAACAGTTCTCATTTTGTTGCTTTTAAGTTTTGTCATGAAGAGCTTTAAAAATGTGTATATAGATATGTGTACATGATCATGTTTTCACTCATGATTTTTTGTGTAATATTAAAATTTTCATAGTAAAATGAAGTGTGCATCTGCAAAAGTGTACAAAACACAAATGTGAAGCTTAATGACTTACCACAGTATAAACACCTGTGTAACTAACACCAGGTCAAGAAACATTTGCAACACCCTGGAAACCCCCTGGTGCCTTTGCTTCCCCAGAAGGTTACCACGTCCTGACTTTTATTTTAATCACTGCCTTGTAGTTCTTTGTGGTATCATCACATAATATGTGTCCCTAAATATTTTTAGTTTAGTTTTGTCTGTTTTTTGACTTTACAGAAATAGTCATACAGTTATATTCCTTCACATATTGATTCTTTTGCTGTATACTATATACTATTACATGTGGCTCTCATTCACTCCTTTTAATTTTTTATAGTATTCAGCTTCATGGATATTATAAATTACCTGTCCAGTTTACTGTTAATGAACATTTGAGTGTTCCTAGTTTTCGATGATTAGGAATATTGTTTCCTTCAACATTTTTACACACGTCTCTTGGTAAACACATATAATAGATGCTCCTCATCGATGGTTTCATTTTCCTTGGTTTCATTACCTGTCTGAAAATATTAAATGGACAAGCCCAGAAATAAACAATTCATAAGTTTTAAATTTCAGTGTACTGTTCTGACCTGCCTGGGATGTGAATCTTCCCTCTCCCCAGTGTGTCCGTCCATGCCGTACACACAACCTGCCCATCAGTCACATAGTCGCTGCCTGGGTCGTCAGACCTGCTGTCACAGGCCTTGTGCTCCAGCAGCCCTCGGGTTACTTAATAATGTCCCCAAAATGCAAGAGTAGTGATGCTAGCAATTCAGATATGCTGAAGAGAAGCCAGAAAGTATTCCTTTAAATGAAAAGGTGAATACAGTACAATAAGATATTTTGAGAGAGACCATTCACATAACTTTTATTATGGTATATTGTTATAGTTATTTTATATTATTATTAGTTATTGTTGTTAATCTCTTACTGTGCCTAATTAATATGTTAAATTTTATCATATGCATGTGTGTATAGGAAAATACATGGTTTCAGGCATTTCCTGGGGGTCTTGAAATGTATCCCCCACAGATATATATGCATTCTTTGTTGGACGTACAATATCTGGTTCATAGGGTATGCAAGAGTAGAATATCTGGTTCATGGGGTATACAAGTATTCAGCTAATGGGCCAAACAAATTTTCCAAAGTGGTTTTACTATCAGCAGTGCATGTGAGTTCCACACCAGCATTAGGTATTGTTATGACTTTCAAACTTTAGCCATCCTAGTGGGCATCGGCATTAACTCACTGGGCTTGAATTTTCATTTTCTTCATTATTTTCCTGCACATGCTTCCTGCCTTCGGCTTGCATGGGGTCTTCTAGAGTCCTTGGAATATGTGGAAACTTTCCACAGCCCTCACTCCCTTAGGTATCTCCATCTCCAGATTCTTGCTTCCTGGCCTGCTTGGTCTGTTTACTGCTTTCCTCAACAGTTATCCCTTGTCCCAGATGGCAGCAGTGACATTTGCTTTTCACTGTTTTTGATAAATACTGTACCATCCAGAAAGCCACATCAGTCCTGGGAGAGCTTCAAGGCAGATAAAACAAAGGGAAACTTTTGAGCCAATCCTTCAATGAACCGCCAGAGGGGTCAAACACACTGCTACAGTTCCTTGAGAACAAGATTTGTATCGCTCCCTCTTGTAATGGTAGTAACCTGCACCAAGAATGGAAGTTGTCCTCAAGTCCAGCATTGAGCTGGGAAATGGGATGGGGAAATGGGGTTAGTTAAAGGACCACAGAGCTCTTTTACTAAAATTTGGTTGTTCACCCCCTTGCTCCCTTCCACCCCCCATTTATTAAGCATTTCCTTGGTTGTGTTTTCAGTTAGATCCCAGAGTTCCAAAAATATTTCTGACCATTTTTGCTGGCTCTCCATTGTTCTGTGGAAGGATGGAGTGTTAGAGTTTCCTATGTTACCATTTTTGTTCTCTAATCTCCCAAGTCTTTTTTTTATCACTGCATGGACTTTAACTTAACAATAATGTTAGTGATAATGAAAATCTTCACCTTTTGAATTTAATAAAAATGCCTTTGGCTTTTACCAAAAAAATATATCATAGTTGTAATTTTTGAGCCATGTGTTCTTTAATAGCTTTTTACTCTTGTTTAAATTTTCCCCCCTGTGGTCTGCTTTTAAGACTCTCATGTTAATAAGCTAATTTTGAAGGATAAATGTCTTTTGACCATAATATAGTTAGGACATTATTAAACGATTCTCTTTGTCTTTACTTTCTTTAAGATTGTTCATCTATATTCATAGTAAGATTGTTCACGTTTCAGTCAGATATTTACTTTAGAATTTGGCTGCTTTCTCAAAATGAATTACACCTTTCATCTTAGAGATATGTCCTTTAAGATAGGGTAATTTTAGTTCTTTGAAAGTTCAAAATAACTCACTTCTAAAATTATCCCATTTGAAGAAACAGAAAACTTTTTTGAAACTCTTTAAAAATTCTCCCCTAGTTAATGGTCTATTCTGGTTATCTACTTTTTGATTTAAAGGGGGATTAGTTGTAGGAAGGCATCAGATAAGATGGAGGAGAACAAGAAGGTTGTTAACTCAAGGTACTGTAAGAGGCTGTTACCTTATGGCAGGGGGAGAGGCTTATATCCCATTTAAAAAATATATGACCTTATTGTCAGTAGGGGTTGTAAAATGTTTGGTTTTGGTTTTTGAGAAAAGAGATTTTTATTTTGTGAATGGACCAAATAGTAGCTTAGGTGGGAGCTGAGGTTCACTTCAGCTCAATACTTCAGATGAGAGTCTGAGGAATTGAGGCAGTAGAAATGAAAGAAGGAACAGATGCAAAAGTCAGTATGTTTGAAGAATTGACATGGTTTAATGGCATCCCACAAAAATATTACTAAAGGTTTATTATGTAAGATTTTAAGTTCAAAATCATCTATATGCTGAAAAGTAATTAGTAATATTCTCTAGCAGCCAGAAATAATTTAAAATAAATATAAAATTCTTATATTCATTAGGAAATAAATCAGACATTTCTAAAAGATGGGGCAAAAAAATATTTTGCTCCAAGATAAAATATCCTGGATCTCAGGATGTGTAGTGCTTTTGAAAGACCTCTGTTACCAGTCTGCCAGTATACAGGCTGCTTCTCTTCTCAAAATTACTATCGTTTTCATAATGTAACTTTTTTGAGCTATTTTTATCTCCCCCCTGGATTATTTTCATCAGAGCAGGCAACCTACTAGCAATTCCTCCTGTTTTTCCTTTATTTCTAAAAGCTGATTTGGTTTATATTATTAAGTGATTGAAAATGAGATTTTCAGGAATTGATGTATTGTGATAAATTTGAGTATAATTCAATAATAATAATTTTGAAATCAGAGTCAAAGTTAATGGAGATAGAATCCAATTCACAGAACTGATATAATAGCTTTTATATATGTAGAGCAGCCTCCCATTTATTTGGGCACATCTTCAGTCTTGGGGGTAAAAATACCATAATAATTCTACCCAGTGAGGCACATTTTGTTCAAAATGAATTATTTGATTTTTCTATAGAACAGTCTTGTGTAAATTAGAGCCTTACATTTTGGGTACTCAAAATAATACAAATTTTAAAATCTCATATTATTTTATTGACATACCTCTCTGATAAATGTAAAGAAATGTTATAAAATTAGTAAGCAAACAATTAATATGGAATATGTTGTTAATAAGCATATAGTTATATACAATAAAGTATAATTGATTTGTTTATAAAAAGTTTATATCCTTTTGGCTGTTAATTTTGTGATCAACTTTCTTGGGAAGCAAGAAAAAATAAACACAAATTATTAAATATGAAATTAGTTGTATAGGTTTGCCATAAAGGGTAAATGTATATTTTGCAATACATGTTAAAATGAATTTCTTTTCCTTTTCTAGGACATACCGAGGGAGAGCATATTTTAAACGACATCTTTATAAGCAAGCAACTCAAGACCTTTCTGTTGCAATTCACTTAGATCCTAATAACTGGTTAGCACTGTATTATAGAGCCTGCTTATTGAGAAAGAGTAACCCTTTTAGAGCACTCCAGGACTACAGTGTTTCAGGTACTTTGTCTTCAAATGTACATACATAGGAATTTTTTCTGAGGATCAGCATATCACTTTGAGTAGAATACTAATGTGGGATTACTAATGTAATATGTATATTATCATATAGTTATATATACTTACATAGTAGTGTACATTTATATACTTAACTATGAGTGTGTGTGGGTATATGGTATGCCCAGAAGGCATCCATATGTGTAATATGAAAAACAGAGACATTCATTTAGTTTGGGGAAAAGCCAGAAGTCACAGGGCACCAAATCTGGGCTATAGTGGGCCTGAGTTACCTGGGTGATTTAATGTTTTGCCAAAAAACTCTGCACAGGACATGACGCATGAGTAAGTGCATTGTCATGATAAAGCTGCTAATCATACTTGCCCATAGCTTTAGCTTTCTGAATCATGAATATTTTCTGCAGAGGAACGTTCAAGCCTAACATAAAATTTGATGCAGATTAGTTGCTCTCCTTGCTCACTCATTTTGAATGAAATGGACACACAGTACACATGCTCACTCAATGGCATCTGTGACCCCCATTGTGAAATTATCATTGTTCACACATGTGCATTCCAGTCCACTCTCCTTGGCTGCCAGGTTACGTTGATGTCATGCAAACCCTTCTCTTTATATTAGCAATGGCTGGGCTTTTTCTGGACATACCTCTTGTGTGTGTGTGTGTGTGTGTGTGTATAATGTTCTTATAAGCTAAAATAGTTTAGCAAAAAGTGTTTTTAATATGCCCTTTTAATGTATGTGTCTAAATGTTTGTTTACATGTGTGTGTAATTGTAGCAAAAGGAGAATACCATATAAAAAAATCTCTGTGCATCTTGAGTTCTGAGGATATTTCTGGAAGTTCAGGTCTGTTTCCTGTCAGCTTGCTAAAATGATAGTGTATTTTCCTGGTGGGCTATGTCCTACTGCATAGGCCCAGCCCATGGATTAATCAAATCCAGAGTTATTTAGCTCTTAAACTAAAAATGGGCTTTGAGAATCTTCAATAAGAGGAAGGCAACAGTTAAAAGTGGCCATTTTCAACTTACCCTATTGCCAGTGTGTTTTTGGTATAGGAATATGTCCAGCATAATTCTGGGCTTAGAGTAAGTGCTCAGTAAGCAGTCCCCAGCTGAATATATTAGCCCTTCCTGATCAGCAAATTCCAACCAACACTCCAAACATACCTATGTTCACCTGGGTGCAAAGTGCTAGAATCCTAGATGAGGCAATATCTAGAGATTAAGAGACAACTAGAGTCACAAGAAGAATACAGAGCTCTTCAGGGAAGGTAATTTAAGATGATTGGTATTTGATGCTTCTAAGTCCATTTGCTACCTGAGATCACCCTGCCATGAATATTCAAATAATTCAAATCCCACCCTTTGTGCTAAGAGGAGTCTACTGCCCTCTCTCTGTTTCCCAGATTTCTTTGAAGAGAAGTCTGTGGATTCCTGTTTAATTCTCTTGTAATCATCGTAGCTGACACCTGCCCTCTGATTGATTCTCCACTTTTTTTTGCTCGCTTCCTCATTTTTTGTGGCCACTGTCTGTTACTGAATGTTGCAGGGTTCAAAGGATAAAGTTAGCGTAGACAATTTAAATTTGAAGGTTAAATGCCCCCATGTCTGTAAGTTTATCTAACTCTGTCAGCTCTGTTCATTTGCCATCTGGCTGAAACCCTTTCACCCTGGCTTCTGAAGGCCTCTTTTTCATGTTCCCTCCTTCCCCACATTTTGGGCTTCTTACTGCCTCTTTTTTAAGCTTTTACAATAATACAAAATGTTTGTTATTTAATTATTCAGAGCAGACCAGCTTGGTTTTGACCTCAATCCTTTCCTAGTCTAACCTGAGGAGTTTTATCTTCCACAATCAAAAAGGACCTCCAGAATATTTTTCTAAGCTAATAATAATACCTAACATTTATTTGGTATTTTATTGTCAAGGATTATTCTAAGTGCTATATATGGAGTGTCTCAATGAATATTCAGAATAATATGATGAGGGAATATTAGTACCATCCCTCTTTTACTGATGAGAAAACCAAGGCACAGAGCAGTTAAGTAATTTTAATATTTTTGTCTGAAGAAGAATGTTTCCATTTTTCTAGAGCAACCACCAAACTGCAGGTGACTCTCTCTTTGCTAGCTGATCACACTGTGAACTGAAGAGTCAGATTGCCTTCAAGTGATTATTCACCTAATCTGTATGACCAAATTCTTTGCACTAGGCATACTTCTAAAAATCTGTAACTGTGAATATTTGTATCCCAGACTGTGAACACAGTGCATATTTTTGGTAAAACTTTCCCTTCTCGGCTGGAACAAGCTTGAGAACTGTAGAAGACATAGATGAAATATTTTGGAAAACCCACCCAATTTAGTAGCATGTTTTTGAAAGTGAAAGGGGAATCAGTAAGTAAGGAGACATGAGATGACACCTAGAATGGTTACGGATGATGATACCAATAACCTGGTGGCAGATCCCCCGCTCCTAGGCAAGATTGCAGTGAGCATGTGCAAGACTTGCTAGTAAATCCAAAATAATTGGATAGGGGAAAATGCCCTTCTACCCTCTTCTGGTACCTGATTGGGGGTGGGACCCGGGAAAGGCAGGCACATGTGCCATAGAAGTCAGAATGGTGGCAGGGGTAGGTACTGCATTAAAGAAATCTGTCACTCTAGCCTGGGAAAAAGAAGGGATTGGTTGGTGGCTGGACCCTCCCAGGGCACATTGAAGTTGGGGCTAGGGAAGCTGGTCTGCATGGGAAACTAATATGAAACCAAGGAAAGGAAGGAATGGCTCTCTGGCCCATCTCATGAATGTACTGGCCAGTGCATTTGTGAGAACTTCTGGTCCTAGAAGCTACGTGGCCAATGGTGGCACCTGCCCCACACACTGGTTCCAAGGACAGAGCTTGACACCTTCCTGGATGACCACTCAGTAGCCGCCTGTGGCTCCCAGGGAATGGCATTTTAAATGGGAGAAGGAAGTATGGATGCTGCCTTTGGTTTTGGTCTGGCTGAGGGTGGATGGGGTTTCTTCTGGGCTTTCGGGACAGGATGGGCTTTTGAGACAAGAGTCTGCCATTTTCACAGATCGTACAGCATTTGAAAAAGACCTCTTTCTTTTCTCACCAACCTCTGCCTCCAGAATTTGCCTATAGGTGGCAGTGGGCAGCGAACCCCCACTTTGGTTCGGTAACAACAACAGTCACAAATCTGGAGTATTGAGATGAGGCACTTTTTGCCCCATGCTTCTGTTATTTGGGACAGGTTACCTGCCTTAACTCTAAGTTCTATTTCCCAGGAAGTAGCCTCTTTGAGCTGCCAGCCCTGGTTTATGTGTATCAGCTGGAACTCTGCCATATGCCTCAGCCTGGACTTGTCCTAGAGCCTGTTTTTGGCCATTAGCCAAAGAATGGCTTCTTGTCTTCCACTTGAGCCAGTAAGGGCAATGGCACCTTTCTCACTGCAGTCCACTGAAATGAATCAGAAGGTAGATTCTGGATTCTATGCCCTTCTTTGCCATTGACTTGCATCACTATCAAGGTCAATGTACCTAGCCCCACTCATTGAACCTTAGTCTGTTCATCTGTAAAGTGAGTGGACTATCCTAGGTTACCATCAGGATTTCGTCCAGCTCTAATGAGTGTGTGAATCCTAATAACCACATTGTTACTTATAAACAAATACCGTTTATGCAAACACTATTTTTACTCTTCAAATAAGTACACTCTTTGTAGATGTCTTATTTTATATAATGTTTAAAAAGTAGAAGCATTATAGAGTTAAATGTAACTCAGATATGTTTGTTCAGAACCTGCGTAAGAGATATACTTTTACTTTTAAGCTCTCATAAATGATGGCTATGAGAATTTTGGTTGTTTTCTACATCGGGGCATACTCTATGCAGATCTAAAACATTGGTTGCTGGCAATTAATGACTTTGAAACTGTTATTTCTCTGGAAAGGTAAGTTTTCCTTTTCATTTTTTACTAATCTCCTTTTTCTATAAAATTTTAGAAAGAACAAAATAAAAGAAAAAGCTTTTTCCCTTCCTTATTAATAACTTGGTAAAAAACAAGACAATTATAAGATAATTCGAGAATAGAATATTACTTCTAAAAACAAGATTACTTCTGAAATAAGACCCATTGTTAAAATCTGTGCCTCAGATACTTTTGGAAATTTTAGAGATCAAATGGGTTTGTGAGGAATTAAATCCATAGATAAAAAAAATTAACAAGTTTTAAAAACACTTTGGGATGCCCAGATTAGAGCTTTTGAAGTGACTTTTATGAAACACTGTCATCAAGTTTTAAAATAATGACAGAGTGTTCTGCTTGCCATATCGTTGCTATGCACAGCACACAACTCAATAGAAGGAAACCTCTATTTAGAACTTCTGACTTCATTTTGTTTAGTAAAGCAAAAGAAAAAAGCCAGTAACATTTAGAACATAGGTACAGGAAGGAACACAAAGTTACACACACTAGTCAGAATGTTAAGCTGTAAAACAAAATTTAATCAAATAATCCCCCCTTTCCTCAACACTTATCAAAATAGAAGATTTCAGAAAGTGTAATAAATCATGTTAATTCAGTGCCAACCACCAGACTATTTACTTAGCTTATCAATAAAGTAAGTTTTGAACTTGTCTTGGGAAAGCCTTGGAGCATGGCTCCATAATAGCCACAGTGGTTTTCTTTTGGATATTTTTGAACCAGGAAGGGAAAGGCAAGAGTTTCAGTTGCCGAAAGCCAAAACGTGGGCAGTAGGAACATTGGCATTTTTTAGGTAAAGGGTAAGGGCTTCTGTGAAGTTAGGCTGTAGGATGTGTAGTTTCCTCATTTTGAAACAGGGGCGTTGAATAGGGTGATTTCTAAGGTAATTTGTATATTGAAATTGTTTGATTCTAAGTGAAAAAAACATTTATTTGGTATAGAAAGAAATTGGGTTAATATCTGTGTGGAGAGGATATTTAACCACAAGCCTCAACTACCATTGTTTCTCATGGCAAATATAGTAAAATGTGAGGCAAAAACTTTTTAGTTGAGTCAAGGAAGAGTAAAGTATTGTTACAGAACAAACAAGGAGGGGGTGCCTGGGACGATATACTATTACTGAAAGAAGCCCCCAGATCCATTATGTCCGCCGCCAGAGGAAAGACGTCTCTCAATGCCAGAGATTTGTGAAAAGGAAAGGAAATGTTTATTTAATGCTATACAAACTTCAAGTAGTGACCTAATGTCTTTACCAAAATCCCAAAGTTCCTTAAAACACCCACAAACAGACACAGTCCTTCCTTCCTTCCTTCCCCCTTTGCCCAGTCCAGAGTACTGTATCTCCTAAAGCTGCAGGGGTCCCCACTCTGGCAAAGGCACGTGGTCGTCTCTCCCCAGGCCACAGGAGTCCCCACTCTGCCAGAGCCGCGTGGTTCTCTCCCTCAGGGCCGCGGGAGTCTCCACTCTGCTAAAGCTGTGTGGTTTGATCCTCTCTGCACTTCCACAGCTGCATGGTTCTTCCTCTCAGGGCTGTGCATTCTCTCTCCAATGGCTGCTGCATCTCGGTTTAAATCCCCGCACCAATCTTCCTCTGCAGCCCCATTTCCGACTCTTCCCGCACTCGGCTTCACATGCCAGAACTGATACCCTTCCAGCTTTACTGGGCTGCCATCATGAGTCTGGGCAGATGTGGCCCCAAGTCCTGGAGCCAATCATCTCCAAGCTCCCATGCAGGCGCTGTAACTTGGGGGACCTGCCCCCAGTCACATCTTGGGGGGGAAGTTACTTCCATTCCCTTGGCTCTGAGCATGGCCACAGCTATTTAACATATCTAAGTGACCAGCCAAAGGCTATAGATATGTTAAATGACCATATCAGAGGTTAGCTGTAAGGCTTTTGCTATGCAAAACAGCTCTCAATGGCCCTGCTCCATTTGTCCCTTCCCCCAACCCACACCTGGGGAGTGAGAGTGAGGACATCCAAAAATCTCCTGGACACCTTGAGTTCTGGACCCCATTTCAAATGCCCATTTGGGGTCCCCCCTCTTGGCTGCACCCTGTAACAGTATTGCTAAGGACTCTAGAAGACTTCAGGAATTCCATTCCTGAACAACAAATATTTCCTGCTAAGGATTTTATAAAGGTGTTTATAATTTTTAACAGAGAGTAGTTGATTAATTTGCTTCGCTTTGGTGAGACATTAAAAAATCCTTGCCATATATTGCTGTATTTCATTAGGTTCATTCATAATTAGAAAACATTTGGAATAATTAAGATGTCTAATAAGATTTTGCTTTCTCAATTTTTTAGAACTATTACTTTGGCTTATATAAACATTGGCCTCATACACCTGCTACACTTGAATAACTACACTGAAGCCATTTGGTATTTTTCTGAGGCTCTTAAATATGATCCTTCATGCATTCAAAGCTATATTTGTCGCGCAGAAACTTATCACAAGGTATTTAAGTTTTGAGAACCTTGATTTTGTTTTAGAGTTTAAATTTTCTGGATATTTGCTCAATATAACTTAAGATATATATATATATTAATGTATTCTTTTTCAGCTAATTACAGAGGCTGGTGCATTTATAAGCAATAAATATTAAGTAGATGTAGTTAGCTATAATTGCCCTAATAAAGCCTATGTTGATGAAGTATGAATTTTTATCTTTCATTTCCTTTAAAAAATAATACCTTTTTTTCTAATTACAACAGCAATATATGCTTATTGTAGATAATAATTTTATTTGTGTATAAATAGAAATAAGTTTGAAATTATCCACAATTTCATTCTCTAGAGATAACTGCTGTTAACATTTTGGCGTCCGTCCGTCCTGTGCCTATGTGTTAGTGAGTGGGTGAGTTCACAGCATGGACTTCGTACACAGAGTGGGGCCCCACTCACTCACACTTTCCTTTAGATTTTGTTGAATTTCAAAGTTATTTAAACTTTAATATGTAATACATCCTTGGCATAACAAATTCAAACACTACAGTAAACAGGGAGTCTTCGCTGACTCCAACTAAATCTGACTTTCCAGAAACACTGTTAACTCTTGTTTCTACCTTTCAAAATAGGTATCGCTTTCCATGACTCCACCACTAACCACCCTGCCCAAGACCCTGCCACTTCTCATCAGGATTACTGAAGTCGCCCTTTTGGTCTTTTTGCTTCTGTGCTTTACTCCTTTTTGTTGTCTTTTCAATACAAAAGCCATAGTGATGCTGTTATTGTTACAGAACAAACAAGGGGGGGGCCTGGGACGATATACTATTATTGAAAGAAGGCCCCGGGTCCGTTATGTCTGCCGCCCTAGGAAAGACGTCTCTCAATGCCAGAGATTTGTGAAAAGGAAAGGAAATGTTTATTTAATGCTATACAAACTTCAAGTAGTGACCTAATGTCTTTATCAAAAATCCTAAAGTCCCTAAAAACACCCACAAACACACAGTCCTTCCTTCCCCCTTTGCCCAGTCCAGAATACCGTATCTCAGGAAAGGAAATAGAAGTCCATGGCTCAGGCAGTCCTCTGGTTCTTCCCAGTTAGTACTCCGTCTCGACTGGGAGACCTCCCTGGGTTCCCGGAACCCTCAGCTGAGTCGCCGGGATCTCTGCTAAAACCAGGTAGTGGTTCCCCCTTCTAAAGCTGCGGGGAGGGGGGGTCCCCACTCTGGCAAAGGCATGTGGTCCTCTCTCCCAGGGCCACGGGAAGGGAGAGTCCCCACTCTGTCCAGGCCACGTGGTTCTCTCCAAATGGCTACCATGTCTGGGTTTAAATCCCCCACGCCAATCTTCTTCTGCAGCCCCATTTCCAACTCCTCCTACACTTGGGCACACTTGCCCTCAATCTGCTGTCTTCTCCAGCTTTTCTGGTCGCCATCGTGGGTCTGGGCAGGTGTCACCCCATGTCATGGAGCCAATCTTCTCCCAGCTCCCACGCAGGCGCCGTAACTCAGAGGACCTGCCCCCCAGGTCCCATCTTGGGGGGGAGGTCCCTTTCCATCCCCCTGGCCTTGAGCATGGCCATAGCTATTTAGCATATCTAAGTGACCAGCCAAAGGCTATAGGTATGCTAAATGACCATGCCATGGATTAGCTGCAAAGCTGCCCTGCATGCTCTTGCTCTGTGTGCCCCTTCCCCCAACTTGCACCTGTGGGGGAAGGGGTGAAGACACCTTAAAATCTCCTGGACACCTTGAGTTCTGGACCCCATTTCAAATGCCTATTTGGGATCCTCCCTCTTGGTTGCACCCTGTAACATTATAACATGTCAGATTATTTCACTTCTTTGCCCTAAACCCTTCAGTAGCTTCCCTTTGCAATCAGAATGAAAGCCAAACCCTGCAGATGCCAAAGCCCCACAGAAGCCCAAGTGAATGGGCTTGTTGCCTTTCTGTCCTACCCTACGAGTCCTTTAGTTGCACTGGTTTCAGTCAGGATGGGCTGGGTTATGTTGTTGAAAAAAACCCCAACAACAAAACAAAACACCCTCCCCCACAAAACATAAAATCTACTTCAAAATCACTGTGTTAAAATAACAGAGTTTTTTTTTTTCTTGCTCACACTGCTTATCAACTGAGAGTTGGCTAGAGGCTCTGTTTTCTATTGTCTGCATCTCAGGACCTAGTGTGAACAGAGTCCCATTCAAAGCCCTTAGCTCCCTGATGATAGAGGTAGAAGACCTGGGGCAGGTTTAATATTGTCCCCAGAGCAAGTCTGCTCTTGGCTCCTGCTGGGGAAGAGATGGACATACCTGTGGTATGTAGTACTTTGGCTTTAACTCCACTTTGTTGAAGCTGAGGGCTTCTGGAATTTCCTTTGAATGCACTCAGAAACCAAGCCCAGTATAAGAACATGTATTCAAAGACTCTTTGCTCTAAGGAGGCAAAAATCTCTGCATAGTAATGAATAAATTGTATTTTATGCACACACAGAGAATATTATGTAGTTCAAAAATAATTAGTGCTGTATCATATGATGTTGGAAGAAGACTAGCTTTGGGTGGTAAGCACATAATATAATATACAGATGATATATTATAGAATTATGCATGTGAAACTTATATAATGTTATTAACCAATGTTGCACCAATACATTTAACTTAAGAAAAGAACTATATCAGCTAACTGGGAAAGATTTCCATGAGATTTCATTGGATAAGAAAAGCAAAATTCGGGGCCCTGGCTGTGTAGCTCAGTTGATTATATGGTTATAGCATCATCCTGATACTTGGGTCAGGACACATACAAGAGGCAACCAATTAGTACATAGATGGGTAGAACAACAAATTGATGCTTCTCTCTTTCTCAAATAAATAAATAAAAATTTGAAAATGAATGAATGAAAAGAAAAGCAAAATTCAGAAAGGAGTGTAAAGCGTATACAATATGATCCCACGTAAATAAAACAATTAACAGGTCCAATCGTGTGTATATATATAGAATACACATACATACCTACTGTGCAGGTTCAGTCCCTAGGGTGAATCTAATGTAAGATTCTCTGGAGAAGTCCAACCCCAGGGCATCTCATAAAGAGCAGAGAGGTAGCCTCCATGCTTCCCAGCCAGGGCCTCCTTAATGCCTAAATATTTACAAGTAGAACAGACATATGGATAGATGATGTAATAATTACACTAACTTGAGCAGGGTCAACTTGAAACGTAGCAGGCCTGAAGTTACACAAAATCCTCAAATTGATTTGAACATGTTTCAAACTCTCCATTAGGTTTCTCTCTTTTGACTCTGCCCGCTATTTCCTCCAAAACCATTTTTACCATTTCAACAAGTACTGTCCACTTCCACGTACAAATCAGTGCATTCTCCTCTTTGCATCTCCATGTGTCAGCACAGTAAGAGGTGCCATTGGTCATCCAGGTTCAGTTTGCTGGGGTTTGTGTAATCCTCCTTTTGTGATGTTCCCCATGGTAATAAGTTTTTGCCCCCAAATTTGTACAAATCCTGATTATGTTTCTGTGACCAGTGTTAAGGAAAAAATCAATGTACACAATGTTTCTATTGATTTTAAGCAGGCATCTTTTGTTGTTATTCTTGAATTTTGCTTTATTCACTCATTTACTTATTAATTTAAGTGCAAACTTCTTTTTTCTTCCTAATTTTTAAGTGGAATTGACTTTCATTTTTGCCCTCTTTTGCATACTAGTTTATTTATTAACATGAATAAAGTTTGATGGAAAAGGTGTTATGGATGAGGGAGAAAAATTAAAAAGCTAAGCTAAAAGGAAAAACAAACTAGAATGTATGATATGATCATATTTATGTAAAGTTATCTATGTAGATATGTATAAAAATTCAAAATTAAAGATAAGTAGTTTTAATAAAACAAAAAACTGCATGACAAAGTTTTCCTTTTACTTCTTTGTATCCCATTTGCTATAATAATTCAAGAAAAATGTGTACTAGATGTTTCTGAAAAATTTCTATATTGAAGGATGAGAGGGGGATAAACATTAGAATGGAAGCAATGAGTGATATTATGAGCTAAGTTTCTGTTTATTGATCAACAGGTGCATAAACTGAAAAAGGCAGTAAGAGAGTTGTCTCGTGCTATCCACCTTCATCCAGATGGAATCCAATTGTATATAATAAGGTATGGGCATAGAAACAGAATCCTTCTTTAAGTTCTCTCTTGATCCTTCCAACTTCCTCATTTTACATTTAATCTTTCATCAGTGGCCATCTCCCAACCACTGTGTTTTAAGTTCTCAAAGACCTCTTTGGATTACTGGTTTTATAGTTACCACATAGCTCATAAAAATAAGTTAACATATTTTGAATAGTTGTTTAATTATGTCCACAGAAGTACCAAATGTAAACCTCAGCCAATTCAGTGAACAAAGAAAACAAAAGTGGCACATTGAATTGTATTTGAAAGGCCATAGAGCTTTCTGTAAAGAGACCCATTGCAAGTTATGAGTATCACCACCAAAAATATGTTATAGTATCTAACATGGGAAATAGACTTACAGATATGGGAAAATGGACTAGAGCAAGCTTTCTGATAAGTTTGCTCTGTTTTATTTATTTGTTTATTATTTTTAAGATTTTTATTTTTAGAGAGAGGGAAAGGAAGGGAGAAAGAGAGGGAGAAAAACATTAATGTGAGGGAGAAATATCAATCACTTGCCTCTTGTATGCGCCCCAACTAGGGACCAAACCTGCGACTGGGAATTCAACCATGGACCTTTCGCTTTTGGAGACAATGCCCAAGCAAGAGTTTTGTTTTTAAACTCTCAAACCACCTTTTAACAATGTATTTAAATACTTTTCCACTTTTGTGTGCCTTGAACTGTGTTTCTCTTTTAGTAACTTCTTAGTAACAGGGTATAATATTTTAAATACAGGTAACTGTAAAAAGATTTAAGTATTTTTCTGTCAGCTTCTCATTTTCTAAATAGTTTTCTCATCACATCTCCAAGCTAATTGGTCCATTTAGATTACGTACATGTTTCTACTGTTCAGATTGTTTTTATCATACATATATAAATATAAATAACTATATTATAAATGTAAAAGTTTAAGTAACTGGATATAAGAAACTTTGTTGTTGAAAAACTCTTTTTAACTGTTTAAAATTAAAAAGGTATTATTTCTTCCAGAGGACAGTATCTTCTTAAGATGAAATGTTATGATCTTGCAAAGTTCACTATTTATCAAGTAGCAGAAATGAACAAAGGTAAATATAATTAATGCAAGATTATAATTGTCTTAACTTAAAAGAAATCATCTCTTCAAAATTTTTACACTATTTACAATAGCTATGTGCAGATAGCTTGAAGAGTGCACTCAAAGTCATAGTTAGATAACTGAATTTTGTGAGAGAGATTATTATAGGAAATACCAGGCTCACACTTATATTTTTCTGTTTGTATTGGAATGTCTTATTGTTTGTTGATAGTAAACAGATTTTAGTAAGACATTATCTTGTCAATTCATATTCAAAGATAGATTATTGAGTTGCTTGACTTCCTTAAAATTTCACATGTATTCCAAAACCCAGATACTTGGCAAAGGCATTGATAACCTTCCCTTTCCTTGCAGGCGTCATTGATTTGAGTCCTATACAGCAAGCTCTCATTTACTCTTTTTGTGAAAACCATGATGAGGCCATTCAGGTCTTGGACCGGGTCACTTTGATCAAGCCTGATGTTGCCATGTACACTCTATTAGCGAAAGCCCAAATGAAGGCCAAGAGAAACAAGGTATGAAACCTATTAATGGAATTTTTATGTTCTGCTCAGAATGACTACTTAAATATCTTTTTACAAAACTATTATTTATTGATCCTTCTGTTAACATTTGGGCTGCTTCCTTTTATTTTTTTCCTCTTTTTTAAAAAAATCCCACTCAGTTTAGTAAAGAGTGATGCTTGAAAAGATTACAATAATTAAAAGATTCTTTGAAAAATAATTATGAATGAATTTTTAAAACAAAAATGAAAGCTTTCTTTCTCTCTTAAGAGTAGGGCCACTATAAATATTCTTTTTTCATGTCTCCTGTTAACATGTGGAGCAGTTTTCCAGGAGTTTCCAGAATTTCTTAGGAGTGAAATTGTTGGTATGTACAGGATGCCAATGCTTAACTTTCAAGAAAATGATACATTGTTCCATAGGGCTGTGTTACTGGACTCCCCCATCTACATTTTGAGCATTCCTGCTGATGTGCATCCTTTACAACAGCGATTTTCAACCGGTGTACACAAGAATTTTTCCCACGTGCAATACCTGACTATTTAGTCAGGGGTACTGACCCCTTTTCCCTTAGATTGTCAAATTAAAAAGGTATTATTTCTTCCAGAGGACAGTATCTTCTTAAGATGAAATGTTATGATCTTGCAAAGTTCACTAAAAATTTTGAAGAGATGACAACAGCTAACACAATAGTTATCCAGTGCGAATGAGTCAAAATTATACCTTTATTTTTTTGTTTCAGCAAAAAAGATGTTTTCTTGGTGTGCCTCAGAATTTTAGGAATCAGTTTATGTGTGCCGTGAGATGAAACTGGTTCAAAGTTGCTGCTCTACAATAATTGGTGTTGTCAGATGGCATTCTTATCAATCTGGTGATTAAAAACTGATGTCTTATTCTGGTCTGAATTCACACTTCTCAATTTGAGCAAAGGTTGAACATCTTTTTATATGTTTATTAGCCACTCATATTTCCTCTCCTAACATTTTTCTATGCACATTTTTTGTCTTATGTGTATCAGTTTTAGGCATTTAAAAGTGAAATCCTGTTTTTAAATCTTGGTTGGCTATATATGATATATATCTTCTTGCAATTTGTGGCTGTTTTCTTTTTAAGATTTTATTTATTTATAGAGAGAGGGAATGGGGGCAAAAGAGAGAGAAATGTTGACGTGAGACAGAAACATCAATTGGTTGCCTTTCACATGCCCTCAACCTGGGACCTGGCCCACAACCCATGCATGTGCCCTGATCAGGAATTGAACCAGTGATGTTTTGGTTTGCAGGACAATGCCCAGCCCACTGACCCACACCAGTCAGGGCATGTGGCTGTCTTTTATTTTATTTTTATTTTTTTGTGGTGCCTTTTGGTGAACAAAAGTTCTTAATTTTTAAAACTTTTAAAAAAGATTTTATTTATTTATTTTTAGAGAGGAAAGGGAGGGAGAAAGAGAGAGAGAAAGAAACATCAATGTGCGGTTGCTGGGATCTGTGGCCTGCAACCTAGGCATGTTTCCTGACTGGGAATCGAACCTGCGATGCTTTGGTTCACAGCCCACGCTCAATCTACTGAGCTATGCCAGCCAGGGCTAAAAGTTCTGGCTGGCATAGCAGAACTATGTGGTTCTATGTGGTATAATTTTGACTCATTAATTTGTATGTGGTTAAATATATCTATTTTTTGTTTCATGGCTTTAAAATTTTTTGCTTAAGAACTCCAAGGTCATAAAGATATTTTTCCATATTTTCTTCTAAAAGTTTAAAAATTCTGCTTTTTCTATTTAGGAACTTACTCTACATTAAATATATATATATATTTGAGTGTGAGACAGTTATGCTATTTCAGTTTTCCCATGTGGATATTCATATGTTCCAGTGTCATTTATTGAAATGTTCTCTTTAACTGAAAGATCTGAAATGCAACATCTATCATACTACATTTTCACTTATGCATGGATCTGATTTTGAGCTCTCTATTTCTATTCTGTTCCTTTGGTCAGTCTTTCAGTTCCTGGCCTAATAGTCTAATGTTTTAATTACTATAGCTTTATTATAATTCTTCATATCTGGTAGAACAAATGCCCACACTATATTCTTTAGGAAATTTCTGGTTGTTCTTGGGCCTTTATGCCTTTATCTACATTTTAAATGCAGCTTTTCAAAGTCCATTAAAAATCCCATTGAAATTTTGACTGACTTTTATTGAACATCTAGATTATTTTAGGGTGAATTGACACCTTTATGATACTGAACTTCTTTTAGGAATGCTCTTATATTTACTTTAATCTCTTCCTCCTTGCCTTCATTGGTCTTTTAGAAAACTGGGGTCACCTTTGATTGCCCCCTTCTTTGAAATCAATAGTGATGTTCTCTTGGTTCTACTTTCTAAATATCTCTCAAATCTACTTCCTTTCTTGATTTTTATGGTCAGTATTCTCGTCCAGAACATATTTTTATTTTGCTTGAATTATAGCATCAGTGTTATACTGTTCCAAGCGTTTATCTACACAGCAGCCACAGTACCATTTCCAGAATGTGAATAAATATGCCTTACCTGCAAGCCCCCAAGAGCTTTGAGGAGACTTTTCAGAATACTGAGAGAGAGGTGCACATTTAAATTTAAATGGGATGGAAGACTTTATGGACTCAAGGAAACAGTGAAGGGGCCAGAGATCCAAAAGAGGTCATGCTCAGGTTGGGCGGAAGGAGTTGGGGTCAAGGGTACACCTGGAAGAGTCAGCTCTGAAAAAGGAAAGGAATCCTTTCAAAGATGAGAGAGAAAAGGATGGAAATTGAGGAAGGTAGATATATATATATATGAAAAGTTGAAAGGGGGTAAATCAAGGTCATGATTTTTCATATGGAAAGGTCGTGTGCTGAGAGTGGGGTGGAAGGATGGTGGTGAGGTGGGCTGTAAAGTGGAGAAAAGGCTAACTTACTTAAATGGATACTTAGCATATCCAAGTTAAACTCATTGTTTCTTTAGCAATTTAATATAATTAAAAATGTGCTAATCACAGGTATTTGTGTTTCTGTATAGATACATATATCGATTAGCTAATTGTGAAAAGCCATTTCTATCTGGAAAATCGAGTATCTTTCATTAATGAGTTTCAACTCTTTTGATTAGCTGAAATGGATGTTTTGATGTTAATTTGTTTTCTAGTGTCAGTTGAACTCCATTAAGAGCACAGCGGGGCCAAACAAAGGTTGATTAAAACCACATAAGATTTTCACTGGAGATTTTTTTTACTGCTGCCCAGTATTCTCTTCAGGAAAATTACCAGCAAATTGGTCATAAACTAGTTTATAAGTTTAGGTTTAATTTAAGACTAGAAAAAATGATCTTTAGAATTTAGAAAGTGTAGTTAGAAGCCCATGTGAGTCAGCCTGCTGAAGTACTGGCTTGTGGGATAGGCACCTGATGCGATCAGACAGGCCGAGTGGTCTTCTCGCAGCACTCAGCGAGATCTGTGTGTGCGTAGGGCTGTGTGCTCAGGATTCCTTTTAATGTTTAAAGGCTGTCATGTTAAGTAAATAGTAGAAAGAAACATTCTCAACCCTCTCTCTTATCGTTGTAGGAAGCTGTGAGAATGTTTAAAAAGGCGTTGGATGTCTTTGCTCATTCCAATAAAGGACCAAATTCCTTAGAGGCTTCAGCAGACTGTCTGTATAACTTGGGTCTTTGTTACATGGATGAAGGCAACTTACAAATGGTATTTTGTGTATTTAGACATGTAGGTTATTTGTGATTTTAGAAATTGCTTGCATTTAGTTCTATTTCTAAAGGTTGCCTGTACAGGGGGAGACCAGTACAGCAGACCAAAGCTTCCTGTGAAGCTTGGCTTATTACAGTCAGTATGCACCCTCCAATACCAATGACCTTGCTTTGTTTATCCAACATATTTTCCTTGATGCTTATTTGTCAATAATATTCTAAAGACTAGTATGTGTTTGTCAACAAAACAATAAATCAAATTGTAAGAAATTATTATAGCAAAATAATTTTATCACATTAATATGTTTATTAAGTTATAAGTACTTCAAATTGAGTGGTTCATTGTAATATAGAATAAATGGGGAATGATTAAGACAGTGATTTCTGTTATTGGTGATTTCTGTTATTGACATCGAACAGTTTAAATCAGATTGAAACCGATTTAGATGGCCAGATTCATTGAAAACCAATTGATTCAATTTTTATATTCTTACCCAGTATTTGGCTATTTTACACAATTCTCTATTTCAGAATTGTCAATGACATGATAAATATGTAAGATAATTGATATTTTCCAAAGGCTAATGTTGGATATTCCACAAATGTATCTCTCTCCCTCCACGTATGCATCCCCCCCCCCCCCACACACACACACTGTCCTTAGACTCTTAGGAGGGGAGAGTGTCTGACACTTGCATCTCTAACTTTGAAAAAGAGTTGCACTTGATTAATTGTTCCATTAAGATTAATTACAGTTTTTTCTTCATGTTTTTAGTCCTTTTGGTCTTCTAGAGTAAACCTAGCTTTACATTACAATGTTGGAAAAAATTTGGAGTTCTGTTGTTCTAAAATTTCATAACTGCATCTGCTATGGTTTTTGGGTCCTCATGGAAGACAAATGTACTGGTTGTGATTTCTTTGAATGAACACAATATGAAGAATAATTATTAAAATTACACCTGCAAAAGTATTATAATCTAACAACAGAAGTTATATAGACATTAATTGGGAGTAAGGGGATATATAAATTATAATAATGAACCTGATTTGTTTATAAATATTACTTTTGTTTGCTCCACAAGGTTTTCTGGAAAAAATGTATTTAAAATGACCAAAAAAGATGGAAAACTTTCAACAATAGTTATATACAGTAATTTTTTAACATTACAAGTAAATTTTACTCATTAAACCATTTGCTTTGTGACAATGTACTCTTCTAGGCTTTTGATTCTTTTACAAAAGCTGTGAAAACAAATCCTAATTTTGCAGAAGGCTTTTATCAGCGTGGGCTTTGTAAAGTGAAACTCCACAAGGATAGCTCGATCCTGGATTTTAATCATGCAATTACCCTCGATCCAAAATATTATGAGGTATTTAAATGAATACTTCCAGTGATTTAGAGTGTGTGCTATAAATTTGCTAAAACTATTAAATCTCTTATCTGTCATTATTATTATTTAGCAACAGTCGGTTATTTATACCTTACATTTCAGATCACTGTTTTGATAATGCATATGTCTGTATTTCCTCTTGAATTAAATATGTTATTTCCAAAAAGGATATTATATATGTGTTTTGTAAATTGTGGTATATATAAATTTGTTAACATTTTAATGTACCTATTAATAATTACAATTTTATATGTTATGGTATTCATTGTACTTCTTGTTTTGCTGTCACATTTCTTACTTTTAAGAGACTAGAAAGACAATATAAAATTCAATAGGTGAAGTTTGATTGGATCCTGATTTTGAAAACTTACGAATTTTAAATATGGACCAAATATTAGATGTTTTTAGGGAAATACTACTAATTTTCTTAGATATATTATGGTAGTATGATTGTATAGGAGAATGTCTTCTTCACCGGAGATGCATACTGGAGACTTGGGGTGAATTGTTGTGATATTTAAACTTATTTTTAAATAGTTCATGGAAAAAGATATACAAAAAATATTATAAATGTGTTAATAATTACTGAATCGAGGTGGTAGGCATATGAATGTTCATTGTACTTTTCTTTCAATTGTTCTGTATGTTTGAAATTTTTTCTAATAAGAGAATGGAAAAAAGACTACATTTTGGGTGGCATATATTTATCCAAACTGCCATATATTTTGGATGAATTGATGCTTTTACTGTAACACCCATTCCTGTTTCCCTCCTCTCTTTCCCTGAACAGGCATACTTGTGCCGAGTAGCCTTCTATGGTTTGAAAGGCAGATACTCCAAAGCAATCTTGAATTGTAATGAGGCCATCAAAATATATCCTCATAGTGTGCGAGCTTATGTCTACAGAGGCGTTCTGAAATATCACAATAAGGTAGGGCGATTTCCTGTCTTGTTGATGGAATTTTTAGAGTGGGTGGACCCTTGAATGCCAGTAATACACAGAACACCTCACTCTTGTACAGTACATCAAATGGGTTACAAAATAGGGATATTTTTGACAACGTTTTAACTAGCATTTATTATTTAGAAAGTAAGTATATATTCATTGTAAAAAATTTGGAATATATAGAAGGGGAATATAAAAGACTAAAATCACCTTTATCTCACCATCAATTGAAAATTCCTGAGCGCATTTTAGTGTATTTTTATTGTCTTTTTTTCCTAATAATATATAATATATATTTTCCAAAATTGGGATTATGCTACTTATATAATTTGTGTTGTGCCTTGCTTCTCACACTTAACCTTTAAAGGTACCATTTTTAGTAACTGAATAGTATTCTACTGTAGTTTATTTTTTAGCACTTGATTGTTGGAAGTTTGGGTTTAAAAATGTTTTTTGCTATTTTATTATTTTAAACAATACAGTTATACACAATAAGAACAAGTCATTGCTTGCGTATATAGTTGATTCCTAAAAGGGAAGTTACTGGGTCAAAGGGTATGTGTAGGTGTCAGCATCGATATCTGATACTTTGTGGAATACTTTATTTTCCTCTACTTTCCTTTTCTGACCTTTCTTTATAGCTATTTCATATGAAATATTTTGCAAATAATACCTTAAAGCAAGGGTAATACCTTGTATTATGTGTTAATTCCATGAAAATTACTATCTATGGAAATGGAGGATGTTAGGTATCAGAGAAGCATCAAAGAGGAAGCAAAAGAGAACGTGGGTAGAAAGCATGACATTTATGTGATGCAACAGAGTGAGTGAGAGAAGCCAGCAAGCTCTGGTGGGTGTTTGCTGGAGGAATGTGGCTTGCCTCTCTTTTACCAATAAGTATAATTTTCTCCTTGCTGTATATCAAGATTGGCAATAAGATAATCATCTAAATGAAAGTTCTTTATATATTTAATTTTATTTGCAAATAACAGAAACTATAATAATAATTCCTACCAAGAGATCTTCTAAATTAAATCTGCAAAAGATTAGCTTGATTGTCTTAATATCACAGATGCTACACAGTATTCCAAAAACTCTGATAGAATCAAGAATTTATTTTACAATTAAATTTCAGTCCATTATGACTAACCCTTCTCACCTAATTATATTTTTCTTTGTAGACTTACAAGCTAGCGATTATAGATTTAACTACAGCTATCAACATGGACAAAAACTGTTATATAGCATTTTATAACAGAGCATTGTGTTATACCAAGATACGTGAACTTCAAATGGTAAGATGACCATTTTAGTAAACAAAATGTTAAAGCATTTGTAAACACATCTAAAGCATGTGAAAAGTATTGTCATTATTTCTGTTGTAATTTTGAAAAATAATTCTTATAGAAATATATACCACACTCCCCCAACTTGAGAAACCAAAGAACCTTTTCAAAGCATGTTTAATTTCTCTGTTAGTGCTTACCAAATAATCTTACACAGTCTCAGTAATATCAAGTGAAAAATCAATTTTATAGTGCTTACAGTAAGCATTTAAAGGCATACATAAATTAAAATACATTACATAATTCTCATTAGAGTAAATGTTTCTACTGATACACTGTGCAGAATTTTTTAAGCAGTGATCATTAGTACTTGTGTTGCTTCAAAAACTCAACATCATCCAGAAGAGTTTGTTGGGGTTTTTTTTGTATAGTGCTCAGACCACGGATACAGCAGAGAGTTCTGAGTGATGGCTTCCAGCTCCAGGGACCAGTGAGTGACCAGTGGCCAGTACTGCTTGTACTTTGTGCAGGGCTAGCTGATGGCTGCAGCAAACCTGTTTCTCCACTGTCTTCTCCAGCTTCTACCTGTGCAAACCCTTTTTTCTGTTTTTGTTTTTGTTTTTTGTTTTTTTTTTAAATCTGACCCTTCTTTCCCCTTTTTTGGTTTGATCCTTTTCCATTTAAGATTCCTCACTGTGGAGCAGCTGGTCTGTGGTCTTCGTAGTGTTCTGTCCCATCCTCTTGCTTCTTTTCCTCCATTGTCCACTTGTTTCCCCTCCTTGTTTCTATCCCCTTCCATAGCCCATAAGGCATTCTTTAAAAGACCACATCAAGTTCCTGCTGCTCTGGGTGCTCCCTCAATCTCCTTGAAATGTGGGCAGTTAAATCTGCTTAAGACATTTGGAGATGCTGAAATTCATTTGCTATGGAAGAGAAGCTAAGAAACATTGTTTCTACCTAAATGGAATTAGAATTCCTGGTAACCAGAGGATCAGGTTTCCTCCACAAATGTTGACAAATGAATAACTAATTTTTAACAAAGGAGTTGTTAAGATACTAGGACTAATTAAGAGATCATTTATTAACCTGCACAACAGGTGTCTTTGATGACTCCCTGCCCACCACGCCCCCTCCTGCCTGTTCATGGAGATTCTGAAGCCACAAACAATGGGCTAGTGCCGGCGGGGAACTCCCGTTTTTTTGTTATCTCTGATGGGTAATACAGCCCAGTGCTCTGTGAATAAGGAAAATGAAAAACTACCTAAATAGAGACTAACCACTAGAATAAATCATATTGGCTATTTTAGAGCTGCCATGTACCCAACCCATTTTATCCAATCACTCATTTTACAGATGAGGAAATGAGAGTAGGGAGAGGTTAGAAACGTATCCAAGTCACACAGGGACTAAAGACCTGTGCTGGTGTCCGCAGGTTTGTTTGCTTCTTGTTAACAGTCTTTAGGTGGCTTTGTAAAAACATTTAACCTCCAGCCTGTGAACCGGATGTCATTTAACAGTGTCAGCTCCTCCCTTTATGACTACCTCCACCTGTTTTTCAGCATTCCTGCCAACACCACCCTGAGAAAGTATCTTTCTGCAGAAAATACACTTAGACGTTCTCCCAAGATACGGTTTAAGAAAAGGTGAATGCTGGTACCTATCACCTTATGTTAATAAAAATAGTAATAGTTTCCACTCACTTAAGGCTTATTGTGTGGTAGGCACTGGGTTTACCAGTGGTTTACCAATATAAATGGTTTACCAATATATCATCAAAATGAATGTTTGCAACAGTATGGTGAATTATTAATACCCCAATTTTGCAGATGAGGAAACTGAAACTTAGTGTTGAGTACCTTACAAAACTGAAAAGCTAGTAGTAACAGCAGAGGCATGATACAAATCCTGTTCATTAGCCTCCATGGATCTCGTTTTATAGCTTTTGTTTCCTTTTGTGTCACATGCCCAGCTGCTTGGTGGTCTTCGGGCACCTGGCAGGTTTTACATTCCATGATTCTATGGGAGGAATAGTGTTAACATTCCAGTTCTGTTTTTATAAGTGCATATTATGAATTATTTTTACACCCTGGCAATGTTTGTTAATAACTATGCAACAGTGTACATATAGGATCTTTAACTGTACAATTCTTTTGGACATTCAAATGCCTAATCATGAAACATTAAAGGGTCACTGAGCAAATAGTAAAATACTATTTATTTGCATTTTCAGTTAGCATGTGCTATAGGCATATAAGATTTGGCACTTTTCTGATGAAATTATACAGCTCTTTTGGACAAGATGTTTGGTAGAAAAATGAGTTAAGAGTTCCTGCTGCAGCTCAGATTTGGTGTGCTCCTGGTACCTGATACAGGGTAGATGACCAGTAAAAATTCATTTATTCAATGACTGAAAAGAAAGATAAAAGTAGTGGAGAAAGTTTCTCTGAGCTAATTCTCAGCTGAGATTAGTGTCTTATTAAAAAATCCTAGTATATCTATAAAGATATTTTGAAATAATTTTCTAATAGGTTCTCATTTGCTAGTTTTATTGAGATCCATTTTTATGACTTCATGATTTATTCTCTCAACAAAAATTTATTGATTGCCTACAACGGTCAGGCACCATGCTAGTTACTGGCTTTACGGGGTGAAAAAAATGGGTAAGCTCTGGCTCCATAAAACAAACATAGGTTTCTGAGAGGAAAACAATAAAATACTAAAAAGAAATTAAGTTTCAAAAGGTAACAAGAGCTCTGCTTTAATGTTTACAGTCATGTGGAGAAACTGCTGAGTGTGGGAAGCATGTCATATGCTCTACATTTCCTTGCAGCCCACACACAATGAAAATGCTAAGGTGACTGGCAGATAACATTAAGTGCAAGCAGAGTCAGCAGCACTTATGAAAAACAAGCAGTATTCAAATATTTAGTTAAGGGTACATTTTACATTTGACAAGTGATTATTTTGGGCCAGAAATTGTAAGTCAAATTAAGCAGTAACTGTGGGGGCCTAGTTTGGGCATGAAAATATTTTTCTTTGGCCAATGTAGTAAGGTTTTAAAGAGTTGAATCTAGGTTGTAAGTGATTATTTTATTTTTAGGCATTAACAGATTATGGAATTGTGCTGCTTCTTGATGCTGGAGAAACTGTGACATTAAATACCTTCATTAATCGTGGACTCATCTATGTAGAACTAGAGCAGTACAGTTTTGCATTAGAGGTAAACCTTCCTGCTCGCATGTAAAAATGAGCTCCCTTGAATTTACATGATAGATTCTAAAAATAGTGAACAATTTTCTTAATACCAAATGGCAGTATTAATGAGTGATAACTTCAGCAAAAATTGTATTAAAATACTTTGAATGACAGAATTTTGTTAAAAAATGTGTGTGTTTTGATTACAGGCAAATAGCTAATATTTAAAAAAATAAATTTTCTTATTTCATGAAATATCAAAACTATCACTTTCCCCAAGGGAGTATCTTGAATATACATGAAATTTAGTTATTTGGCAAATAAGATGATTTATGTATTGTTTACTTTGATGTTTGGTACTAACTCTTATTCACAATTGTCTTCATTCTCTATTGAAAACATATCAAAATAAATCTGTTTGTTTTGTAGAGAGTTGAAAATAACTGCTTGTTAGGCTATGAGAATAGTGGGATCAGGCACTCAGAACTGATACAGAAGATAGCACTTGCAATATATCAAAATAACAACAGGTGGCTAAAAATGCATTTTTTATAGAAAAATTAAACAAAACTCATCATTTTCATTTTTTATCTCACATGTATTGTCTATTCTAAATTAATGCCGGAATTAGGATTATGAGATACAAGGCAAATTAAAGAGCACCTTGAAGTTTACAATTGAATAATGGTAGTTTTGCTTCTTTGTTTCTGAGGAACTGCAACAGAACATTACGCAGTGGAGCATTTCCTACTTTTTTCACCTCAAAAATTGCTTTTATTATTCTTCTATTTCTGGTGTTATCATTTGAGATTGTGCCCCACAGAATGACTCATTACTAAGGAAGTGTCAGAGCAACCTTATTCTAGGCAATTTGCATCATGATGAAGTATGATTCTAAGAGGTGAACTTTTTTAGGATTTGGTTTTGAAGTATACCACTTGGAATTTCCTCAGGGAGGGGGAGCTAATGAACTTCTTTGTTTGGAGCAGGCAAGAAAGGTGTGGGACTCTGGGTAATGGTGTTGAGAGGGAAGAAGTGAGGAAAATGGGGATCAGTAGCAAAAGACCTCCCATGTTGGAGGATTAAATGCCAGGCCTGTGTTATCTACGTGGTAAATATTTATTAATTTTTTAACATCCACATATCAGGTTCTCAACAATGCTGCACAATTTATCATTGTAACTTATAGATGAGGAAGGTGATATTCAAAAGAGGTTAAATAGTCTTTTAACCAGGGAATACTAACTAGGGCAAGATTTAATCTCAGGTCTCACCTGATTCCAAATCCTATGTTCTTTCAGACAAGGCAGGTATTGGCACTGACATCGAAGATATAGAGATAAATAGGACAGATTTCTAATTCTTGAGAAGCTCATAATTGAGTGGAAATCATTCTTGACCACTCTCTTTCCTCATACCCTGAATCTAAGTCATGCACAAATTCAGTCAGCTCTACCACCAAAGCACATTTTGAATTCAGTCATTTCTCATTTTTGCCACTATTATCCTCCTAATCCCAGCCTCTACCATCTTTCCCCTGGACTAGTGCAGGAGCTTCCCAACTGGCCTCCTCTGCTTCTGCTCTCGTCTCTCTCTGTACATGTATTGTGCATGTATCTGTTGTACTGTACATGTATCTGTTGTCCAAAGAGCAGCCAGACAGACCTCTTAGTTTAGAGCAGATCAAGTTGTTCCTCTGCTTGGAACCCTCCCATGGCTTCCCATCACACTTAGAAGTCGAGACAATGGCCAACCAAGCCCCTTCCTGATGGGACTACTGCTTACTGACCTGGCTTCATTGTCAAACATTATTCTTTTCTGCACTAGGTCAACCCACCCTGGCATTTGGTTATTCCTTGGAAATGCCAGGCTCCCTTTCTGCCTCAAGATCCTCACGTAAGTGGTTCTCTGTCCATAGAACACTGATACCGCTGATCTGTATGTGGCTCTTGCCCTTCTTTCATTTTAGGTTTCTGCTCAAATGTGAACACCTTAGTCAAAAAGAGGAAGTAGATTAATTAAAATGGAATATTAAAAAACTAAAATAATCTAAAATAAGTCTGGACAGGGAAAACAAACAAAAAAACCCCCAGAAAACAAATAATGAGAAAGTAGACCTAAATCTGAGCATATTAGTTGTTACATTTAATAGAAATTATTAAAAAAAATACCAATTAGGATAATGAGACTGTCAGATCTGAATTTGTTTTTAAGGCCTCACTATATTCTGTCTACAAAAATCACACTTTAAATACATTGATATAGATAGGAAAGGTAAAAGGCTGGAAAAATTATGCCCTGCAAACACTAATTAAAAGCAAAAAAAATTTTTTTTAAGTAAAGCTAAAAATTAATTTGAAAAATTAAATTAAAAATGAGGAAGAACCAATGAAGAAATATAAGACTGAATAATACAGGGGCAATGAAGAACCAAGAGACAGTGAGCACTTTGATATCTACCCAGGGAAAAATTTTTAGTGAGAATTACTGATTAACAGACAGGTCAGGTAGGATGAGTGCTGAAAACTTATTGGTTAATTGATAGTTGTAAGACCTTCATAGGAACGCCTGGATCAGGAAGTAGAGTGTGGCATTTAGACTGGCATTGTTCAGGAAGTTAATGGTTAAGCTTATTGGATTGAGAACATCTGTTTCTTTCTTTGTTCTTTTAAAAACCTACCAGGAAGACAGTAAAGAAATAAAAAAAGATATAATTCCACAAGGCTAAAGATAGTGGAGAAGAGATGTTTAAGCAGCCAAAACTACCATTTCATGTTTTGATATCTTAAACTTAATGAATGGATCGCCAAGGATCCTGCACTTGAGAGAAGGAAGTAGTATAGAGACGAAAACAAATTGTTATCTGTACAGGGATGGCAGGAAAAGGGGAGGTGTGTGGAGTGGGGGAAGATAGCTAAATTCTGTCCTTTTCAGGAAGTTCAGCATGATAAAATCATGAGATATGGTTGAAATTTTAAGGTAAATAGCAGAAGAAATAACAGCAAGATGTAAAACCGATTGCCTTTGGGGATAGGGACTGAGGGACGAGGAGAGACGGAGCAGGGCATTGTTGCAAGCATTGTAAGTTTTCTAGTTTTGTTAGACCCTAGATGCTTTGTACGTGGGTTACTTTGATAAAAATTAAATAAACAAAAATGTCTTTAGATGTAGTTTACAAATGACAAAATGAAATTGGCCTTAATTGAACAACATGAGTAATAGGAAGTTGATGGAATTGGGAGATGCGGAGACAGTGAGTGTTAATAAGGAGAGATTGATAGTGGGAGGAACTAGAATGACAGGGCTGTGTGTAGTGTGCAGGCAGGGAGGGTTGAAGGAAGAAGGTCTGTTCAGTAAGGGCAGTGAAACAAGGATTAGAAATGCAGAAATTAGCAGGAATATGAGGGAGCAAGTTGCCAGAGGCAAAGGGAAGGAAGGAGGTCAAGAGCCTGTCCCCTCTGACACAGAAATAAAGGCAGTGTGAGTGGATGTCCTTAGAATAAACTCCATGGAGGCAATTTGTTTTGTGTATGAGTGACTATATGCGGTTTGTTATTTACGATCCTCATACTGGAGGAAAATTAATGCAGAAGAGAAAAGTCATAAAAAACCATTAGCTTTACTCTAAGTAATGCTAACAGCCATCATTTATGTCAATTGCTGATAATTATGTATATAGAGTCAGGTTGACTTTAGTAAGTTTCATCTGATTACAAAACTAAACTTGGTATTCTCAGCCCTTCAAGGTCTCAATCACTCCTCACAACTCCCCAAATAAATAGTAATGTTTGTTAATAAATCTCAGTTTTACTTGTACATTTGCCTCCACTTTAACCAAACAGTCCTCTTCAGGGAGTTATCTGCTAGCATATTTTATTAGATTATATTTGATTAGGCATAGATTTCTTATTTGCATCCAAATAGTTCCATTTAGTATCAAAATATGCCTCAGGAATCTAAGTGGGGATTCCACCTCCACAGGTTAGTCTCTGACTGAAACCTCCCTCCTCCAAGAGGATCCCAGCGGCTCTGCTTGACCTACTACTCCCTCTCTCACTCCCAATATTTGCAGAAAACTCATTGTACCCCCACAAGACAGCCAGCTTCCTCCCTCTGCTGCAGCCAGGCAAGGTTTGTGGAAGAGGGAGGGGCAAGAAGGAAACTGGGGAGGGAGCAAGAGACGGGGAGACTCTTAGGGTTAGCTCCTCTCCTTCCTCCAGGGTGGACGCCAGATCTGTGACTTGCCCTTTGAGGCTGGGGGTGCAGGTGTCCCAGCCTCCAGTAAGGGAGTCTGGAGGGACTTCCTTTTTGTTACTCCAGAGGGGTTCACAGTACCTCCACTTTTTAGCTTGGTCTCTTGAGGTTACAACCAAAACTGCCCATGAAAATTCCTGCTGAAGCAGTCCTTTGGGGAAAAAGCGGAATCATTGCAGTTCACATGATATTTTGTTATTGTAGATATTTATTTAGGTATTTTGTTAATTTCAGTTTAGTATTGTTCTCATTTTGCTTCACATCTCAAAACAATGTTGTAGGGCTTTGAAAAGCGTGTGTGCTTTGGACACCGTCTCTGGTGCCTGACAGAGTACAGTCTGTTCAGGGAGGGCCTTGGAGGCAGGGTCTCTTGCAGACTTTTAATTCTCTTCAAACAACCTCTTCCTCAGGACCATGCAGGGCCATTCCAGCTAAGTTTCTTGACTCAAACACTTGAGATTCCCATTGCTCTTTCTCAGGAGGTTTCCAGGGTTCCTGGACAGAATGATTCACTTCTCCCCAGAAGTGTGAATTCCAAGATAGGAGCAACTTTAGCTAATCCACGAAAAAAGGCCCAGTTACGCCCTTCTCTGGATCTGGTGTGTGTTTGCCCGGTAACGCCAAAGGTTCTCTGCGGGTGAATTTCCATTACTTTCTAGAGGTGCAAGTCTCTGGTGGTGTGTATTGGGGAAAAACCAATAAAAAGTGAACAAGATATCTCTACACGTAGCAGGACATAGTCACAGGAGAAGTGGAGACTAGCAGTACACTGTTCAGAGTGAGTTTTCAGTTGTGGGTTTCCTCTGCTCCATCCATTCTCACTAGATGTAGTACTAAAAGGAAAAACATTTTTAAGAAGATGTATATTTTAATGCTATGTTAAGTATATTCACAGTGGAACCAAAGTTAGAAGGAAGTTTATAAAAGCACAAAATATAATGTTGCAAAGTTAACAAAAAGTTTTGAAACCGTTTCAGGATTTTAAACAAGCTGCATTGCTGACCAAGACGGACGTGAGCCTTTGTCAGGCTACTGCCATGTGCCATCACAGGTACGGCGTGCCATTTATGTTGAAGTGAATGCACGTGGGGCTATGTAGTAGTTAGAATAGAAGAAAGAGAGGAAACTGTGAAAGTGACTGAGACACGAATGGGGAGAGACACAAAGAAACCCTGTACAGAAGTGGGAAGCACACCCAAGTGTGGCATTAGTACCCTCCTACCTTCTAATAAAGTGTTCAAACCAAGTCTGCATCTTGGCATTGGGACACCCATCTGATTGAAGCCCCTTTACTGGGCAAGGACCTGGGTGATATACAGAATAAAACCATGCATAGCTTGAAATGTCTAAGAAAAAAGCCTAGTAGTTAATTTTGTTCCTAAAGTGAAACAAACTTTTAAAAAGCCTGTTTCCCACATGAGAGTATGATTTCAAAAAATTAGATATTTTCAGAAAATTTGCATTTAGAAAACATTCTAAATCTAAAAATAACTAAAACAACACCATAAATATCTACAAAATACAATAAAATCTACAGAACCATATTACTTAAAACATTATTACCTGTTTCTGGGATTATTATAAGAATAGTTATGTTATAGAAGGAAAGAAAAAAATAATCACAGAAGGCTAAAATACAGAAGACGATCAGTTTAAAATTTGTTCAGAGATAGTATTACATAGATTTGATAACTATGTTTACATTTCTACATATATATTTAACATCTAAAATTAGTTTCTCATCGTTTTGTTTTTAAAAAGGTGAAAGATTTATATGATCTGAAGAGAAACCAGAGTCTTATTTTGCTTTTAAAAGTATAGGGATTCAGCATGTGAAGATTTTAATGTGGGATAAAATATATTTGGTTAAATGAGTTTACAGCATTATTTTTAAGAGAAATAATAGCAATTAATTGAAGGGGCAAATTAGAATAGTTCATAAATTATGTGGACTAGGGTATGTAAATGTCCCATTTTGAATTATTTAGGAAGTCAGCATTCTTTTTTTCACTTCTGGGACAGAGCACAGATTCATTTCCCTATGAGAGTTAGATTTTGTTTTATTTTATGAACATAGTAATATTATAACTGAAATTTGTGAAGGTGTCTTTGGTTTTAAAGGCCTAAACTGGGACCTTTATTTTACATAGGCAGTAAAACCTAGTCACACCATTGTCCATTTTAATCCAGCAACTTTTGTACAAGTCATCTCTCTAAGTCATTGTCATTCTTAAAAAGAGGTGGAATAATGGCAACTGATATGTTTGCTTTGGCGGGTGAGTACAGACCAAAAATGTCCGAGGTCACTGCATTCTCTCCCAGTTAAAAACAGACTCCAGAATTTCTCTAAACCTCATTCTTATGTTTAGCAGCTATTAGAGATAGTAAATTTCTCTGTGTATCAACGCCCAATCTCCTTCATGAAATGTAATCACTGATATACTATGTGGCGGAGCTTTCTTAAGCTCATACTGCTTTGCAATTGCAAATAACCAACTTTCATTAGTTGACTTGAATTCTATTGTCCTTTAATAAAATTAGAATTTAATTCAACAGTTAAGCCCGCGTAACTCATAGTCCTCATTCCGTGTGTTTTGAGTTTTAACAGTTTTACTGAATTTAACAATAAGAAGTATTCAGCAATTGGTTATATTTATTTTAGGAAAAATATTTTTGCTTTCGAGGTAGTCTGTAAGACATTTATATGTCTTATAACACAGCTTCTCAGTATCGGAGATTCATTACTGGGACTTATAGAGAGGGGAAAGTAAGAATTTTCCCAGTTGGAAAATTTTTTTAAAGCAATAAATATTTAAATTTTAGGGCTTTGATCTTTGAACTCATGGGGCTGCAGACTTTTGAAGTATGCCTTTGTGTATCTCTGGTTCTCACTCTTGTGGTTGCTAAGAGACAGCATTCCTTAGGCTGAATATCCTACTTGTTGCTCAAGTTGGTCACTTGAGTGTTGTGCTAGAGTTAATTTTTAGATCTCTTTGGGAAAGCCACCTTGAGATGAAAAAAAAAAATGTCACAGAGGGAGAGCCTGATTACTCAGAGTTATATATCCTATCCACTTTTTACTTTGGCACACTGATTTTACTCTTCTTATATTTGCGTAAAATAGTTTTGAATCCTTGACTCTGTAAGCCACATTCTTTAGGTTTGGGAGGTATTTATGATTTATTTGTACAACTCAGCAGGGCACATCTGGCCACGTATGTGATTAATTTAGAAACTGTGGTGGGCCTTTGTGTTCACGGCCCAGGCTGCTAGCTTGGCTCATGATCTGTACCCAGTGGGCACCAATGAGAAGCATGCACCTCTGTCAGTGATCACGTTATTTTTTACAACACATTTTATTTTGGCAAAACTAATTTAATATACTTTTATGTTTTTGGTCACTGATACTTAACGATGTATGTGCTGATGACCATGTATCCTGACAGAACACAGATTCTCTGCCACACTGCCCCATTGTCTCACGGCCATGGGATCATTTAACAAGAGCTTCCATCCCCAGGACACCATGTGATGTGTGCATCTCCAGGAAGATGAAATTGCTGTTTCTATAGTGGTATCTGTTTCATTTTTTTTCTGTTGATGCAGGATGCTGGGGAGTCTCTGGCTTTGACACTGTCACCTCCCATGGGCTTGATTTTTAGTTATTATCTGCTTTGAGGAGCTTGATTGGTGGCTTTCCAGGTCTGTTTCCAGTGTTAATTCAGTCAAAACAGACTAGACGTTCATTAAATGCTGGTGCTGATAACAAGACAGGTATAGCTTCCTCCATGTTCATTGATATTAAATATAATGATCAGATTTGCGTATGAGATGGAAAAGCGATTCCTTTATGGAAAATATGTTTCACCAGCCTTTACCCCACGACAAGAGAATAAATAGGGAAGAGAACCCGAGTTATTAGTCACTCACATATATTTACAAATTAATAAGAAAAATATTTCTTTTTCCTCTTTTTCTCTTCTCTGCTGGTGTCTAGAAAGAAAGGGCTTACTTCTCTAAAATATCTGAAGTAAGGACTCTCATGTATAAAAATTTGGTTCCTTTTGTTGTATGAGGAAATATTAAATACACAAATTCATTATAATCTGCTTTAAATAGTGTATTACATCAATAATAGCATATTTTTTCTATTTTGGCCACTGATAGCTATTAAGTATAGGTATAGGAATGCCATTTAGCCTTTTATTATGCTGAACAAAGAACTGCAGAATATTATCCCAGCACACTCTACTGTGAAAATGACTCTTACCTGCCTGCCTTCCTTTTACCACAACCTTCAGCCTTCCTTAGGTTATATGGACTCTTGTACTTACTTCTTGTGATGGATAATAAAATGGAAAATTTTTAACAAGGGTCAGGGTAAATCTTTATGAAAACTTTATATACAGGAAAGCACTTAGGTAACTCATCAGAAAGCATCAATAATTTTATTTATTTTCAGAAGCAAAGAGTTTGAAGAAGCTGTCAATTTCTTCACCTGGGCTCTTAAAATTAATCCTTGTTTTGTGGATGCTTACGTTGGACGGGGAAATTCTTACATGGAATATGGTCATGATGAAGGCGTCAAACAAGCACAGAAGGAGTTTCTGAGAGCACTGCATTTCAATCCAACATCTACAAAAGCCAGAATTAGTTTAGGCTATAACTTGCAGGTAATATTACATAAGAACAGTTTGGGCCATTGAAAGCACCTTTTGGACAAGAGGAAAAATATATTTGGCTCTCTACTGATGGTGGGGGTACATGCTCTTTCTTTGGTTAGGGCCATTTTACCTTCCCCTTACTACTGGTATCCAGAGCAGCAGTGGGAAGCAGTTGCAGGGAGCCTTCCTGGGAAGCACTCTGTGGTGTGGACTTGGTATGCTGGTGAGATGAAGATCTTTTGAATCTGAGTGTCTTTAATTCCTTCACTCCTTTCTACTTTACTTCTACACTTATAGACAACTTTTAAAATTTGCCTGATGAATTTCACATTTAAGAACCTGGCTAACATTTGTTTCACTAGCTCATTTCTGGGCTTCATAGGTTTTGAACTAGTGGAAAACTAAAGGGAATCAACAATGTATGGAAGTTCTGAAGTGGACTCCAGCCACGCAGTGGGTCAAACAACCACTTGACAGGGACTTCTGAATTCAGATCATCTTCCAATGGCAGTGAGTTAGAACGTACTGGGAAGGCAAGACCCCGGCATGTGTCCTCCCAGCAAGATGGGGGAGCACTCTTTGGTGTGAGGCCAAGCAGTTCTCCGAGTCCTAAAACCTGGCCCATGCACACACCACATCCTTTGCACTAATCAAAGATGTAGTGACTGTCTTGGAATACAGTGCTAAAAGTGCAGAATTCTCCATGAAAAGGAACTGAATAATCTTAAATACTATTTTTATCCCTTTTAGTAATCAAAAATTTAAACGATGGGTAAAAAGTATGTTCAAATTATTGTAAATTGCAGAAATTCTGTTTGTAATCTGCCTAAATTATTTTTTCCCTTAAAAATAAGTTAGTTTGGCTGATTTAAGACTAATAATATTGGAGGTGTTTGTTGGAATTGGTGGTTATAGTAAGGTGTGCTCAAGAACTTAATAAGGGAAATAAGATTGTATTCTGAGAATTAAACATAAAATTAGTCATTATTGGAACACAGTAGGAATTTGCAAAGTCAATTTAAAGAGACATCCAATGAAATGTACTATCATCATTTACTGATTTTAATAGGCATTTACTGAGCACCTACTGTAGGAAAAAAGCTGATCTAGGCGTAGGGATCCACAATGAACAACGTATAGTTGGTTCTTCTTGTAGAGTTTGCTACCTAGTGGAGACATGAGCATCACACAATCATATGATTTATTATATAGTTACACGGAGGGTAAGCATAACAAAGGAAAAGGCTGGGTTTTAGGACAACTCATCACAAGGAAACCTAGCTTTGTTTGAGGAGGAAAGGAGTGTTTTTAAGAAGTTAACATTTACAGCGGGGTATGAAAGACTAGTAATTAGTCAGAGGCAGGAGTTGGGGGTAGGACACACTGTTGGGGGTCCCAAGGGATGGATGTTATGGATAAGTGGAGTGATGTGAGACTAGGGGACTGAATAATGGCTGGAGACGAAGGCCTTCCAAGCCAGTTAAAAATGTATCACCAACCAGAGCACTGACATCACGTTCATGTTTTATGAAGAGGTAACTGAGTATATACCAACCTGAAAGAGGAATACCAGAAAAACATCAGTATGAAGAAGGATTGAATCAGGAAAGTGAAGACTGAAATGGGAGAGTTAGAGAGGCCCATAAAAATTCTGCTCAGGGCAAAGAGTGACCACTTGTTCAACAAATACTTACAGATTTCCCTCCTGTGTGCTTAGCATGAGGGATAGGAAAGTGAGAGGCAAGATGTTGTCTGGACAGACAGATGTAATCCTGCTGTGAGGCTGTTTGCAATTTAATATTTTAATAAATTAATCTCAATTTGCCTGACTCTTTATTAAATGAATTTGTGGTGATGATGGTGAATACCACATAATTTGCCAAGAGTGAGATTTACTGGTTAAAAAACAGTGTCTTATTAGTTGTATGTTTTGTTATGGAAGAGTCACTAGGCTCAGCTTGGTTAATTTGAGTTAGCTTCTGAGATTCTGGGAAGTCGGGTTGTTGAGCCCATAGAAATAAAGGACGGGCCCTGGACCATGCTGGATTCGTCAACTCACTGCCTGCCTATGATGAGGCGTTTAGTTGCCAGTTAGTCGTCTCTAGGAAATATTCTGATATTGTAACCAAGCAGACAGGGGCCCACTCATGTGGTGCCTTGGTGTATGACCCAACAATCAGTGTTGACAGAATCAGGTTTTTATTTACAATATTCCAACCTTGAGGAAGCTGGAAGCACTTCAGCTCAGAGTTCTGCTCTCCCACGAGACCCAGCACTTCCCTTGCTCCCCCAAATGCTATAAGCCAAAACCTCCCAAAGTTGCCCATATCCTTGTCTGTGCTTAAACCAGCTGTGCAAACAGTTCTCCATTCCTTCTGGAAAAGACACTCGTGGATCTCAAACTCTCCATCCTCTCACAGCAACTCTCTCCGTCAGGATCTGTGGTGTTGTCATCAGCCTCTGTGTAATAGTCCAGGAATATATGTGCTGTGTTACACTGGACCATGGTGAAGTCCAGGAAAGGCACAAGTTTCAAGAGTGTGGCCTTTCAGTATGTTCCAGGTCCCAAGAGTCTGGGTCTGTGAGGCAACAGACCAGCCTCTTGCAAGGCAGTGTCCTTGATGGCTCTGGAATCAGCTGGGGCAGGCAAGATCAGAGCAGCAACACATCTCCTTCCTTACTACACCAGGCCACGTGGTGGGACCCTGACTTCGAACTACATAGCTACTTTCTTACTTCTCCCTTCACATGGTTGCTACATCATTGCTGTCATCTCTCATGCTTCCCTGCTTATTATCCCCTTTCCAAACTGCATGGCAGCTATCTGACTGCCGGCTACATGGCTCCTTCTTGTGGCTGCCCACCCTTAGTTTAAATCCTGACCCAGAGCTTCCTGCATGACCTCGTCTCTGATTCCTTCCACCTTGTGCTACATTTGCCAGTTTCCCTTATCTTCTGCCTTTGCTCAGCTGCCGTCTTTAGTCAGGGCAAGCATGACTCAGTGACAGCAGGGAATTGCCTCCCTGGCTTTGTCATGAGTCTGGACACAGTCTGAAAGTCAGCACACACCTTTTGCCCTGAGGTGGTAGCACAGCTGTTCCCAGCTATTAGCTAGCTATCAGCTTTCCATAGATATGCAAAGTATCTTAATCCTATCATCTGCTTCTCCAATGCCCCAGCCAGGGTTTGTGGAGAATATTCTCTGTCCTTCACTCTCTACCCCATTTCAGTATCATCTTACTCAATCAATAGAATCACAATACTTGATACCAAACTGTATTACAAGGCCACTGTAATCAAAACAGCCTGGTACTGGCATAAAAACAGGCACATGGACCAATGGAACCAAACAGAGAGCCCAGAAATAAACCCAAGTCTTTATGGTCAATTAATATTTGACAAAGGGGGCAGCCACATAAAATGGAGTAACAATAGCCTCTTCAACAAATGATTTTGGGGGAACTGGATAGCTACATGCAAAAAAAATGAAACTCGAGCACCAACTTACACCATACACAAAAATAAATTCAAGGTGGATAAAAGATTTAAATATAAGCCGTGACACCATTAAAGTCCTAGAGAAGAACATAGGCAGGAAAATCTCAGATATTTCATGCAGCAATATATTCAGTGAGATGTCCCCTAGAGCAAGGGATATAAAGGAAAAAATAAACAAATGGGATCTCATCAAAATAAAAAGCTTCTGCATGGCTAAAGAAAATAGTATTAAAATAAAAAGAGAACCAACCGTATGGGAAAACGTATTTGCCAATGATACCTCAAACAAGGGTTGAATCTCCAAAATATATGAAGAACTTACACAACTCCATTCTAAGACAAGCAAACCAGTTAAGAAATGGGCAGGACTTGAACAGACACTTCTCCAAGGAGGACACACAGAGGATCCAGAGACACATGAAAAGATGCTCAGTATCACTAGCTATCAGAGAGATGCAAATTAAAACCACAATGATATACCACTTCACACCAGTCAGAATGGCCATCATAAACAAAGCAACAAACAAGTGTTGGAGAGGTTGTGAAGAAAAGGGAACCCTAGTGCACTGTTGATGGGATTGCAGACTGGTGCAGCCACTGTGGAAAACAGTATAGAATTTTTCTCAGAAAACTAAAAATGGATCTGCCTTTTGGCCCAGCAATTCCACTGCTAGGATTATATCCTAAGAACCCTGAAACACCAATCCAAAAGAACCTATGCATCCCAATGTTCATAGCAGCACAATTTACAATAGTCAAGTGCTTGAAGCAACCTAAGTGCCCATCAGTAAATGAATGGGTCAAAAAACTATGGTACATTTACACAATGGAATTCTATGCAGCAGAGAGAAGGAGCTACTACCCTTTGCGACAGCATGGATCGAATGAGAGCATTATGCTAAGTGAAATAAGCCAGGCCTTGAAAGATAAATACCATATGATCTCACTTTTAACAGGAACCTAATCACCAAAACAAACAAGAAAAATATAACTAAAGACACTGAAATAGAGAACAGGCTGACAGTGACCAGAGGGGAGAGGGGAGGGAATTTCAGGGGAAAAGAGGGAAGGGTTTACAGGAACAAGTGTGGAGAATAACAAGGGGGTGGAAAATGGGAGGGAGGTAGGGAGGGCTGGAGGTGTGGGCTGGGATGAGGGTAAAAGGCAGAAAACTATACTTGAACAACAATTAAAATAAAATTTTAAAAAATATATCATTCTATTCACAATGTTCCTCTCTTGACCTTTTCTCTTGTTTTCCAGTTATCACTAAGGTTCGTATAAATACATGCTTGGTAGATTCCATGAATATATATAATTCTAAAATTCCAGATGCTGGTAAAATTTATTAAAGTAGGTTTTACATCAGTAGTTTCTGCATTTATTTATTCAACATATATTTATTACATTAGGTATATTGTATGTAACCATAGATTGAAAGCCAAACAAATAAATTCAGTTTCTGCCTGTGTGAGCAGAGCTCCATGTAGATTTTGTGGTCATTGTCCAAAGCGTAGGTGATTCACATGGTGGCTGTGATTTTATGTTGTCTAAGATGGTGTGAGATGACTCTGACGATTAGATTTATTTTAATTAATTAAAATTTCAGTGTAAATACTCCGAGGTAATTAGTCCACTGAATGCACTCACAGTATACTCTACTTTCTGTTTAAATATCTTAGGTTTAGCACTGTATAAATATACCCTTTCTAAAGGTTTTATTTGATTAAGTTAGAATCAAACGTTTGTCATGTTACGGATAATTTCCTATTTCATGTAATGGAAAATTATTTCAGACCCAAGAAAAATTCCAGAAAGCTTGGAACCACTTTTCCATTGCCATAGAAGTCGATCCAAAGAGCTACCTAGCCTATGAGGGAAGGGCTGTGGTCTGTCTTCAGATGGGCAATCACTTTGCTGCATTTCAGGATATTAATACTGCCATAAAGGTATCAATCCACTTAGATTCTATTATCATTAATATAAATCAATACTACCAATGAATAGGGGCAAATGAAAAAAAATTGTTACTTTTTAAAAACGACTTGTACAGAAAATTACATTTGTGTTTTTTCTTTGTTGTTGTTGTTCCAGGAGATTACCAGAGTAAAGAGCCACTATGCCTTGTCAGTTTTATAACCTGAATGCATTTAAAATTCAAAAAGCAAATTCCTGATAAATGTAATGTTGATTCTCTCAGTAAATGCAATGTATAGTTTCATGGAACATCAATATTGTAATAAAAATGAATGCAAAATAATAAAATAATGTTCTGGGTTTGAAGGAACTAGAGAAAGAACAGTGTAAATCTGAAGGTTCTTTTTTAGTGAAATGGCAAATAAAAACTTCAGGTTTTGCATACAAGTGACAGAAAATCTTTCTCTTTTTCCCTAGATTTTTGGATTCTGTTTCTGCAGATTTGGGTAGATGCTGTAATCTTTGAGATAACAAAAAGGAAAGACCCCAAAGATAATTGCTACTGCTTAGGACAAATAAATGTTAATTATTTAATTTCTTTTCCAGCTTTAAGAGAACTAAACAGTCTTTGTCCTGTGTCTATTCTTTGGAAAAGAACTGAGTAAAGCATTGAGATTATTTGTTTTATCACAAACAAATCAACTAAGTGTTGCCATTGAACCAACTTCATACCGAGCCCTTTCTCAAAATATTTGCTCTAATGGGGCTTCCCCTGCACTATAAAATTACTAGTTTCCCACAGTAGATTTCATAATGTTCATTTTTGTGGACATGAAATTGGAGATAAATACTATTCTCAGGTGCTAAATACTCACACCATTGCATTGCAGCTCAATACTTCGGCAGAATTCTTAACAAACCGTGGTGTGATTCACGAGTTTATGGGTCAGCAACAAAATGCAATGAGAGACTATCAAGCAGCGATTTCTTTAAAACCCACATACTCACTGGCCTACTTTAATGCAGGAAATATCTACTTTCACCACAGGCAGTTTTCCCAGGTAATGTGAGTTTTCCTTAACATTTTCTTTTTGACACTAAATGCTTTCTTTGCTATATATAGTTTCAAAATGTAATCCTTATATTCTTGGCTACTCATGCATGAGCTCTTTTAAAAGATGTTCTCTTCCATAGAATGTTTATAATTATTTATTAAATTTTTAACCTCTGTGGATTTATTCTCCACATTGTCACCGGGCATTTGGCACCTGTCCAGCAAACGTTATTTTGGACTTCTCCAGGTGTTGACAGTTGTCCTGCTATCCACCCACTGTGGCAACTTCCAGCCTGGAGTCCTCTGCTGTTTGCCCCACTCAGCCAAACCTTAGACTTCCTTTAAGACCCTCTTTTACAGTGTGATTATCTTGATTATCTCAAACTCATCTTACTTTCTACATTTCATGTATTTCAGTTACTTACTGGAAGGAAGGAGATCTGGATGTTAGTCCTGGCTCTGTGATAGCTTAGTCCATTTCATAATGGACTAAGTTCATAATGTATGAAATAAAAGTGTTGGACTATTAGATGATAGTTTTTATATTTTAAATTTATTTTATTTGAACTGTAATGCATTTACATGATTCAAACTCAACTTTAATTTTTAAAAATCTATATTCACTCTTCTGTTTTCCTTCAATTTATCCTATTCTTTGTCTGTCTTTTTGAGTCAGAAGCTTAATTCACTTATTGGCACCCTGTCATTTCTATTGCGATACATTTTTAAGGTTATGCCTTATCCTCAAGTACTGCTTTTAGCAGTATGCCACATATTTTGGCCTATGAAGTTTTAATTTTTGTGTTCTTCAAATTTTGCATCTGTAATTTTATTTTCCCTTTGACTCAGAAATAAATTCATAGGGCATTTAAAATGTCTAGGTGGAAGGACTTTTATATTTTCTAATTTTGGTATTTATTGAATTTTAATGTGGTCTAATATATAGCAACTTTTAAAAGAATATTCCAGGTCCTTTTCAAAGAAGAGTTTGTACTATCAGGATATAGAGTTAAAGTATAAGATCTACCTTATTAATTATATTTTTAATTAGTGAATACCCATTCTTTTTTTCCATTTGACCTTTTTAAAATATATTTTATTCATTTGCTATTACAGTTGTCCCATTTCCTCCCCCTTAATTCCCCTCCATCCCTCCCGCCACCAGCATTCCCCTCTTTAGTTCATGTCCATGAGTCGTACATATAAGTTCTTTGGTTTCTACATTTCCTATACTATTCTTACCTTCCCCTTGTCTATTTTCTACCTACCATCTATGCTACTTATTCTCTGTACCTTTTCTCCTCCATCTCTCTCCCTCCCACTCCCCTGTTGCTCACCCTCCATGTGACCTCCATTTCTGTGGTTCTGTTCCTGTACTAGTTGTTTGCTTAGTTTCTTTTGGTTTTGCTTTAGGTGTGGTTGTTAATAACTGTGAGTTTGCTGTCATTTTACTATACATATTTTTTATCTTCTTTTTCTTAGTAAATCCCTTTAACAGTTCATGTAATAAGAGCTTGGTGATGATGAACTCCTTTAACTTGACTTTATCTGAGAAACACTTTATCTGCCCTTCCATTCTAAATGAAAGCTTTGCTGGATAGAGTAATCTTGGATGTAGGTCCTTGCCTTTCATGACTTGGAATACTTCTTCCCAGCCCCTTCTTGCCTAAGGTCTCTTTTAAGAAATCAGCTGACAGTCTTATGGGAATTCCTTTATAGGTAACTGTCTCCTTATCTCTTGCTGCTTTGAAGATTCTCTCCTATGTTTAATCTTGGGTGATGTAATTATGTGCCTTGGTGTGTTCCTTCTTGGGTCCAGCTTCTTGGGGACTCTCTGAGCTTCCTGCACTTCCTGGAAGTCTACTTCCTTTGCCAGATTGGGGAAGTTCTCCCTCATTATTTGTTCAAATAAGTTTTCAATTTGTTGCTCTCCTCTTCTCCTTCTGGAACCCCTATAATTTGGATGTTGGAATGTTTAAAGATGTCCTGGAGGTTCCTAAGCCTCTCCTCATTTGTTTGAATTCTTTTTTCTTCATTCTGTTCTGGTTGGATATTTCTTTCTTCCTTCTGGTCCACACCATTGATTTGAGGCCCAGTTTCCTTCCCATCACTATTGGTTCCCTGTACATTTTCCTTTATTTCATTTTGCATAGCCTTCATTTTTTCATCTAATTTACAACCAAATCCAATCAATTCTGTGAGCATACTGATTACCAGTGTTTTGAACTGTACATCTGATAGGTTGGCTACCTCTTCATCACTTAGTTGTATTTTCTCTGGAGCTTTGATCTGTTCTTTCATTTGGGCCATTTTTTTTTCTTTTTGTCTTGAAGTGCCTGTTATGTTGTAAGGGGCAAAGCCTTAGGTATTCACCATGGTGGGGCAACCCACGTGGAGTTTTGATGCTGTATGTGAGGGAGGGGTCTGAGTGGGAACAATGGTGCTGGCTGTACTCTCTGCCAGATTTCAGTCAATTTCCCCACTACCTCCAAGCAAAGTAGGCCCTTCTGGTGCTGATTCCTGGGTGGGTGGGTTTGTGTACATTCTAGTACCCTCTGAGTCTCTCCAACAAACTCTCCTATGAGGCTGTTGGGAGTTTCTCCTGGCACCTCAACCCCCACAGGTGTTTTCAATTGGTGGTTTGAGGCTTTATTTCCCCGAGCTGGAACCCTGGGTTGTTCGGTCTATCTTGCTCCCTAGTTGTTCCTCTCGGTTTATCTGCACGTGAATGTGGGACTGCCCGTTCCACCAGCCGCTGCCTTGCTGAGTCTTCTCAGTCCAACTACCCATCTCTGCCCCTCCTACTGGTCTGGATGAATTTTTCCTCTTTAACTCCTTGGTTGTCAGAGGAGTTAAGGGGCAATCCATATGGTTTGATTTTCTGTTCTGGTTGTATTTTGTTTTTAAATTGTTGTCCTTCTTTTGGTTGTGCGAGGAAGTACAGTGTATCTACCTACACCTCCACCTTGGCTGGAAGTCCCATTTGGGTGACCTTTCACTGAGAAAGGTTTAAATATCCTATCATTGGTTCAGTCCTATATTGTTTTCTTTATATTTTTTGTAATTTCTGCTTTATGAAAATATGTTGCTGCATTATTTCATATATAGGTATGCATATATATTATATATGCATTATATGTTGTAGCCTTCAGCATTATAAATGCTCTTCTTTGTATCTTTAAGGCTGTTTGCAATAAATTTTACTTTATCTCATATGAAGATCGTGACCTCTGATTCCATTTGGTTTGCCTTTTCCTGGTATTCCTTTGCCCTTCCCTTCATTCCCACCATTTAGAATCCTTTGTTTTAGATGTGTCTCTTTTATAGGGTTGGATTTTATGTTAGAAGCTAATTTGAAAATATGTCTTTTAATAGGTAGGTTAAGCCCATTTACATTTTGGTATAATCAATACATTCGGTCTTAATTCTGTTATTTTATGTCATACATTTTCATTCTCATGTATTTTAAAAGTATTTTGTTCCATGGTATGTTTAATTTTTTCCAGTTTTTCTGATATTGAGAAAGGCTTACAGGTTTACTTGAGTGTTTACCTTTATAAAAGTATTCTTAAACCCTTTTTTCCCTATGCTTTTAGTTTCTTTATTATGAACAACAATAAATTCCCCTCCTTTGACTTATATATATATATCAACTATTTTTTCTTTTTTTCATTTTGCTTCATTTTTCTCATTTCTTAATCTTTTTTTTTAAAGATTTTATTTATTTATTTTTAGAGAGGGAAGGGAGGGAGGGAGAGAGAGAGAGAGAAACATCAATGTGCGGTTGCTGGGGGTTATGGCCTGCAACCCAGGCATGTACCCTGGCTGGGAATCGAACCTGGGACACTTTGGTTCCCAGCCCGCGCTCAATCCACTGAGCTACACCAGCCAGGGCTTCATTTCTTAATCTCTTAATTTCTTTTTTGCGTTTGTTGCCTTCACATCTTTCTTTACTGTGTTTTTGAGATATTTATTGTCCCCTTGTAGACCTTTTAATTCATTTCTTTTAATATTTTTTCTAGTCCTATCCTATTTCCATGTTATACCTTCCTGGCCACCTCTTTTCTGAAATCCTTCTTTTTATTAAATGCAGTTGCTTCTATAATAATTTTTCTAGTTTATTTTGAAATGTTATCATTTTTTATCTAGATTATAGAAATGTTTTTTCTGAAGAGTTTTTATTTTTGCAAAAATTAAGTTGTTATTTTTCATTTTTGTTTTTACCAGAAAGACAGGGGAATTACTTTTCTTCTATTCATATTTGAATATAATAAATTATTTTCTAATTCTGATAGCAGAGATTCTTGTGGTAAATAAGGGAATGGACCATGATAACTTTCCTGTTTGGTGCCTTCTGGTGCTGTAGTAAAGGACTTTACAGTTTGTCCTCTGAAGCCTATCCTGGTTTGGAAGGGGCTATCACAAGCTCCATGTTTCTCTGAGCTTTTCACAGACCTTGCCTCCTAAAATAATGTACTGATTTTTTCCTCATTGCTTTGAGGGAGAGAGAGAGAGAGAGAGAAGAAATAATAGATGTGAAACATCCATTGGTTACCTTCTCATATGCATCCCCACGGAGGGATCAAACCCACAACCTAGGTATGTTCCCTGACCAAGAATCAAACATGTGATCTTTTGATCTATGAGATGATGCCCCAATCTGAGCCACTCTGTCCGGAGAAAATGATGTACCCATTAAAACAGGTTGTTTTTATTGCTTACATTTTTTGACACCTGTCACCTCTATATTTTCCTTCACCACCCAACACTGTCACCATACTCCTTAATAAAGTGATGTTGGGGGCTTCTTTATGTGTGAAGAGGCTATGTTTCTTGCTTATATTTTGCTGGAAAAATTCGGAAAATATTTCCTATTTCATGTCACTCTTCATTCTTTCACTCTTCACTTACTTATGATGTGACTACCATATGCTTCGCATTTATTTATAAACACCCTGAGAATACAGAGCTGAGGATTCTTTTATGATGTAGCTTACATTTATTGGT